AGCCACGAATGATATTTGATATAAAGCGTTTAAGGAATAATGAAATGTAAGATCATGAATATTAATATTTTTATTACTAATAGATTTGTTTAGACAGAACTCTGCTTGTACATAGATATAAATAAAAAATGTATTATAACTTGTTATGAACTGGCATTTTCACTGAAATGAATGTTGGTAAAAGTACTTATCACCAGTGCCTGTAACACTATGTGATAGATTTTTACACAAAATAAACTAGTAAATTTATTACTGTACTAGATTTTTACTTAACCCAAAATAAGAATTAGTTTTATAGTTGTGCCTTGATGTCAGTAGAAGGCTCTTTATCCAAGGAATTTGAGCTAACCTCTCCTGCATCAGACCCCTAAACTTTTAGCATTTTCCTATGATGATTAATAGCATGAAATAGAAACTATTAGTCAAGAGGAGAAATTTGCAAATATAGCAATTATTAAATATGTCAGTGAAGAACATGCACACCATGTAATATTTCTCTTAGGAAGGGACCATGATGCAGCAATAGGATTTTTGTGCAATAGGCAATTAACCTGCATGATACAAAAACAAAGCCCAAAGCCCGCCATACATTTAACAAATATAACAGTAACCATGGCATTGTTTGACACTTTACAAATACGTAGAAATTTGTATTTCTTTTTAAAGGTTATAATGTGTGAGTAACATTTTATAGAATGTTAAGTGCAAATAAAGCCACTAATATGTCTGAGCATTTCTGGTAGACTAATCAATGCTTACACACACCTCAAGGGAGGTTCTTTGATGCTGGTGAGGGGCTCCCCTCAAGGAAGGTTCCTTGATGTTGGTGAGGGGCTCTTGATTTAGGGAATTGGATCTGTGCTCCAGTTCCCCGAATTAAGCCTGAATGCCTTCCACATCCCCTCCCCAGGCGCTGTATAATCCTCCGGGTTTAGCGCTTCCCCCTTGATTATAATAATAATAATGGTGAGGGGCTCTTGATCTAGGGAATTGGATCTGTGTTCCGGTTCCCTGAATTGAGCCTGAATACCTTCCATCCTCCCCCCAACATGCACTGTATAATCCTACAGGTTTAGCGCTCTCCCATGATTATAATAATAATGCTTACACACTATGTACTTAAAACTAGACATAGGTTATGAAGTGATAAATTTTTATTATTTTATTTTATTAACACATCAGCCAATTCCCACCAAGGCAGGGTGGCCCGAAAAAGAAACACTTCCATCATTCACTCCATCACTGTCTTGCCAGAGGGGTGCTTTACACTACAGAGTATAATCCTACGGGTTTAGTGCTCCCCCATGATTATAATAATAATTTACACTACAGTTTATAAAACCGCAACATTAACATCCCTCCTTCAGAGTGCAGGCACTGTACTTTCCATCTCCAGGACTCAAGTCTGGCCTGCCGGTTACCCTGAATCCCTTCATAAACTTTACTTTGCTCCCACTCCAACAGCACATCAAGTATTAAAAACCACTTGTCTCCATTCACTCCTATCAAATAAGCTCGTGCGTGCTTGCGGGAAGTCCAAGCCCCTTGCGCACAAAACCTCTTTTACCCCCTCCCTAGGCCAACCCCTACCCTGCCTTCCCTCCACTACAGATTTATGCACTCAAAGTCATTCTGTTTCATTCCATTCTCTCTACATGTTTGAACCACCTCAACAACACTTCCTCAGCCCTCTGGCCAACAATTTTGGCAATCCCACACTTCCAAACTACGAATTCTCTCCATTATATTCACACCATGCATTGCCCTCAGACATGACATCTCCACTGCCTCCAGCCTTCTCCTCACTGCAATATTCATCACCCATGCTTCACATCCATATAAGAGCATTGGTAAAACTATACTCTCATGCATTCCTCTCTTTGCTTCCAAGGACAAAGTTTTTTGTCTCCACAGACTCCTAAGTGCACCGCTCACCCTTTTCCCCTCATCAGTTCTATGATTCACCTCATCTTTCATAGACCCATCCGCTGACCCGTCCACTCCCAAATATCTGAATACATTCACCTCCTCCATATACTCTCCGTCCAATCTGATATCCAATCTTGCGTCACCTAATCTTTTTATCCTCATAACCTTACTCTTTCCTATACTCACTTTTAATTTTCTTCTTTTATATACCCTACCAAATTCATCCACCAACCTCTGCAACTTCTCTTCAGATTCTCCCAAGATCACAGTGTCATCAGCAAAAAGCAACTATGACAACTCCCACTTTGTGTTTGATTCTTTATCTTTTAACTCCACACCTCTTGCCAAGACCCTCGCATTCACTTCTCTTACAACCCCATCTATAAATATATTGAACAACCACGGTGACATCACACATCCTTGTCTAAGATCTACTTTTACTGGGAAATAATCTCCCTCTTTCCAACATACTCTAATCTGAGCCTCGCTATTCTCGTAAAAACTCCACTGCTTTCAGTAATCTACCTCCTATACCATACACCTGCAACATCTGCCACATTGCTCCCCTATCCACCCTGTCATACTCCTTTTCCAACTCCATAAATGCCACAAAAACCTCTTTAGCCTTATCTAAATACTGTTCACTTATATGTTTCACTGTAAACACCTGGTCCACACACCCCCTACCTTTCCTAAAGCCTCCTTGTTCATCTGCTATCCTATTCTCCGTCTTACTCTTAATTCTTTCAATAATAACTCTACCATACACTTTACCAGGTATACTCAACAGACTTATCCCCGTATAATTTTTGCACTCTCTTTTGTCCCCTTTGCCTTTATAAAAGGAACTATGCATGCTCTCTGCCAATCCCTAGGTACCTTACCCTCTTCCATACATTTATTAAATAATAGCACCAACCACTCCAAAACTATATCCCCACCTGCTTTTAACATTTCTATCTTTATCCCATCAGTCCCAGCTGCCTTACCTCCCTTTCATTCTGCCCAGCTCCCCCACACATGTCCAACATTATAATAAGACGAACATATTGGTAGAGCTGTACATGAAAGAGAACCTGTAAGGCTCTAAATAAGTAAGAGTTCCAGTATCTACAACAGGGAGAGAGAGAAAAGTAGAAAAGCTGTCAACTAGTTCCCACAAAAGTCACAGTGAGACCCTCCACAGAGGAAATGAACATCAAAAGGAAGTGTCCTGTGGCTTGGTTGGCAACGCACTCGCCTCATGCACTGAGTGTCTAGGGTTCAGGACTTAGCAAGGGTGGAAACATTGGGCGTGTTTCTTTACACCTACTGTCCCTGTTCACCTAACAGTAAAGTAAGTACCTGGGTGTTAGTGGACTGGTGTGGGTGGCATCCTGGGGCAAGATTAAAGAACCACACAGGAAATAAGACAGACAGCCCTCGATGATGCACCAACTTTCTTAGGTTATCCTGGGTGGTTAACATTTCCCCGGGTTATAAATTAAAACGAATATTAAGTAAGTATTTAGCCACAGGTAGGTACACATAAATACAGTTATACAAATGATGATGATACATAAGTAACATATAAGTAAATTACCTAGGTTAACCTCCAAAAAGTCAGACAAATTGACTTATTTCCACTGGGATCTTGTGGCCCGGTGGCCTGGTGGTTAAAGCTCCCGCTTCACACACGGAGGGCCAGGGTTCGATTCCCGGCGGGTGGAAACATTTCGACACGTTTCCTTACACCTGTTGTCCTGTTCACCTAGCAGCAAATAGGTACCTGGGTGTTAGTCGACTGGTGTGGGTCGCATCCTGGGGGACAAGATTAAGGACCACAATTTATTTATTTATTTATTTATTTATTTATAATTTGAGCACACATACAGAGGTACAAAAAAATACAGATAAGAGCAGCATGCCAAAGCCACTTATACTATGCATAGCATTACGGGCTGGCTTAAAATTAACTTAAGATTAACTAAGCAATGATGAAATCAGTGAAAAACATTAATGTAAACAGATTACTATAAAGCACAAGTGAGTATTACAAAGACAGGTCATATGGTTGCATGCATTGTTGTAAATTCAGTAGAATGGAGTATTCTGTTAGGTAGTGTATTTAAAAAATAATAAAGTTAGATTGGGTTTTAGGTTTAACATTTATGTGATATAATTGTGAGAAACATTTAAGATATACAATTTATAAGGTTCAGTTATTCAGTATTTATTTGGTTTTGAGTGAGTAAGTGATCTTTGAGAAGAGACTTGAATTTATAAACAGGTAGTGTTTCTTTTATATTTACAGGTAATGAATTCCAGATTTTAGGGCCTTTTATGTGCATTGAGTTTTTGCATAGCGTGAGATGGACACGAGGAACATCAAAGAGTGATCTGTGCCTTGTGTTATGGTCATGGTTCTGTTGAGGTTGGCAAGGAGATGTTTGAGGGGAGGGTTAATATCAGAGTTAAGTGTTCTATGTATGTAATAGGTGCAGTAATAAGTATGGATGTTTTGTATGGTGAGTAGGTTGAGTGTATTGAATATTGGTGGAGTGTGCTGCCTGTAGTGAGAATTTGTTATCATTCTAACTGCAGCCTTTTGTTGGGTAATTAGTGGTCTGAGATGGTTAATTGTTGTTGAGCCCCATGCACAAATTCCATAGGTGAGATAGGGGTAAATAAGAGAGTGATATAGGGCCAGGAGGGCTGACTGTGGAGCATAGTACCGTATCTTCGATAGTATGCCTACAATGGAAATAAGTTAGACAGTCCTCGATGACGCACTGACTTTCTTGGGTTATCCTCGGTGGCTAACCCTCCGGGGTTAAAAATCCGAACGAAATCTTATCTTATCTTATCTTTATAATACCTTATTATTTAAACCTAACAAGTTAAAACAGCTACATATCTTAATTAACTCGGATCCCAGAACTCTGATGACAACGGAGAGGAAACTAACTTTCTCCATAAAAAAGCCAACGGGAACAAAACTAGGAACAATAATAATACTATTAAAATAATAATTGGTAAGAAAACATAATGATATAAATATTAAAGTTAAGATAGGCTCGTGGGAGCACTTGAACTGCTCTCCAAGATGGCGCTCATAACAAACTGCACCACACACCTTCTGCTCCAGTTTTTACCACTCTGCTGCCTTATATTAGCATGTCTAACCTCATCTCTCGCACAGGATGAAATTCCTGGCATTAGTGAGTGGATCGAATTATATTTTTTCCGTCATTACATATGTTAAATAAGAGGAAAGAGCGAGAGTTGTGGTGGTGGGTCAGAGACCCACCAAAAGGCCAGTGTTGTTTAACTCGCTTAATATTTAAAAATTCTAAGACTACAGTTCTTGTAGAAGCCTTGCATGACCCATGCGCGTTTAGAGCTTAGTTCTGATTTTTGTAATCATAATAGTAATACAGTTCTTGTAGAAGGGTGAAGCCTCTTAAACTGAGACCTGCTTATTTCACACTGCTGCGGGTTTAGCGCTCCCCGTGAGCCTAGTAATAGTGCAGATATACAATAGTATGTCTGCATTATTACTAGTATAGTCATATAATAGTGACTAGTATAGTCATACAACAGTGACTAGTGTAGTCATACAACAGTGACTAGTGTAGTCATACAACAGTGACTAGTATAGTCATACAACAGTGACTAGTGTAGTCATACAACAGTGACTAGTGTAGTCATACAACAGTGACTAGTGTAGTCATACAACAGTGACTAGTGTAGTCATACAACAGTGACTAGTGTAGTCATACAACAGTGACTAGTGTAGTCATACAACAGTGACTAGTGTAGTCATACAACAGTGACTAGTGTAGTCATACAACAGTGACTAGTGTAGTCATACAACAGTGACTAGTGTAGTCATACAACAGTGACTAGTGTAGTCATACAACAGTGACTAGTGTAGTCATACAACAGTGACTAGTGTAGTCATACAACAGTGACTAGTGTAGTCATACAACAGTGACTAGTGTAGTCATACAACAGTGACTAGTGTAGTCATACAACAGTGACTAGTGTAGTCATTCAACAGTGACTAGTGTAGTCATACAACAGTGACTAGTATAGTCATACAACAGTGACTAGTGTAGTCATACAACAGTGACTAGTGTAGTCATACAACAGTGACTAGTATAGTCATACAACAGTGACTAGTGTAGTCATACAACAGTGACTAGTGTAGTCATACAACAGTGACTAGTGTAGTCATACAACAGTGACTAGTGTAGTCATACAACAGTGACTAGTGTAGTCATACAACAGTGACTAGTGTAGTCATACAACAGTGACTAGTGTAGTCATACAACAGTGACTAGTGTAGTCATACAACAGTGACTAGTGTAGTCATACAACAGTGACTAGTGTAGTCATACAACAGTGACTAGTGTAGTCATACAACAGTGACTAGTGTAGTCATACAACAGTGACTAGTGTAGTCATACAACAGTGACTAGTGTAGTCATACAACAGTGACTAGTGTAGTCATACAACAGTGACTAGTGTAGTCATACAACAGTGACTAGTGTAGTCATACAACAGTGACTAGTGTAGTCATACAACAGTGACTAGTGTAGTCATACAACAGTGACTAGTGTAGTCATACAACAGTGACTAGTGTAGTCATACAACAGTGACTAGTTTAGTCATACAACAGTGACTAGTGTAGTCATACAACAGTGACTAGTGTAGTCATACAACAGTGACTAGTTTAGTCATACAACAGTGACTAGTATAGTCATACAACAGTGACTAGTATAGTCATACAACAGTGACTAGTGTAGTCATACAACAGTGACTAGTGTAGTCATACAACAGTGACTAGTGTAGTCATACAACAGTGACTAGTTTAGTCATACAACAGTGACTAGTATAGTCATACAACAGTGACTAGTGTAGTCATATAATAGTGACTAGTGTAGTCATACAACAGTGACTAGTGTAGTCATACAACAGTGACTAGTATAGTCATACAACAGTGACTAGTATAGTCATACAACAGTGACTAGTGTAGTCATACAACAGTGACTAGTATAGTCATATAATAGTGACTAGTGTAGTCATACAACAGTGACTAGTGTAGTCATACAACAGTGACTAGTGTAGTCATACAACAGTGACTAGTGTAGTCATACAACAGTGACTAGTGTAGTCATGGAAAGTTACTAGTATAGTTATACAACAGTTACTAGTGTAGTCATGGAAAGTTACTAGTATAGTCATACAACAGTGACTAGTGTAGTCATACAACAGTGACTAGTGTAGTCATGGAAAGTTACTAGTGTAGTCATACAACAGTGACTAGTGTAGGCATACAACAGTGACTAGTGTAGTCATACAACAGTGACTAGTGTAGTCATGGAAAGTTACTAGTGTAGTCATACAACAGTGACTAGTGTAGTCATACAACAGTGACTAGTGTAGTCATATAATAGTGACTAGTGTAGTTATGGAAAGTTACTAGTATAGTCATACAACAGTGACTAGTATAGTCATACAACAGTGACTAGTATAGTCATACAACAGTGACTAGTGTAGTCATACAACAGTGACTAGTGTAGTCATTCAACAGTGACTAGTGTAGTTATGGAAAGTTACTAGTATAGTCATACAACAGTGACTAGTATAGTCATACAACAGTGACTAGTATAGTCATACAACAGTGACTAGTATAGTCATACAACAGTGACTAGTGTAGTCATACAACAGTGACTAGTGTAGTCATACAACAGTGACTAGTATAGTCATACAACAGTGACTAGTGTAGTCATACAACAGTGACTAGTGTAGTCATACAACAGTGACTAGTGTAGTCATACAACAGTGACTAGTGTAGTCATACAACAGTGACTAGTGTAGTCATACAACAGTGACTAGTGTAGTCATACAACAGTGACTAGTGTAGTCATACAACAGTGACTAGTGTAGTCATACAACAGTGACTAGTGTAGTCATGGAAAGTTACTAGTATAGTCATACAACAGTTACTAGTGTAGTCATGGAAAGTTACTAGTATAGTAAATATGCAGTACTAAAATAAAAAAGTAAAATTATGATTTATGTTTCAGATGTTGTTTCAAATGATATCCAAAATAAAGGCAGAATAAGAAAGCCGCCCGTAAGGCGTGGCACTGCTGGGAATTCTCTTGAAGGTAAGAGTATTGAGAAATCTTTTTAAATCCATATATGCAGCCAACCTACAGTCTCTGCCACAATAAAAATGTTTGGAAAAGGATAAAAAACAAACGGTTTAATAAGATTTATTAGGAAACTTAGAAAATTAAAAAATCACTATCTGGTCATTTGACTTTTTTTTCATTGCCTTTTTAATCCATTCTGTGTGGTACTTTATTGGCAGCAAATCCGTTTTTATTTTTATTTTTCATTTCATGCCAGTGATTTTTTTTTTTCAGACTATATTTTCTTTATTTACATTTAATTTGTAAATACGTGCAGTATAATAATTGGTCATATAATGTAGTCTGCTGTGCTCAGTTTGCAGGCACCATATAATTACTACCAAAAGCCCTCCCAAGAATACTGCATAACAATGTATACTACTTCCTCTCTGACACCCTCAACAGGTATTCCCTTATACCTAATGAATTTCAGTTTATATATATATAGAATTGATGAGGGGAAAAGAGTGAGTGGTGCACTTAGGAGTCTGTGGAGACAAAGAACTTTGTCCTTGGAGGCAAAGAGGGGAATGTATGAGAGTATAGTTTTACCAACGCTCTTATATGGGTGTGAAGCGTGGGTGATGAATGTTGCAGCGAGGAGAAGGCTGGAGGCAGTGGAGATGTCATGTCTGAGAGCAATGTGTGGTGTGAATATAATGCAGAGAATTCGTAGTTTGGAAGTTAGGAGGAGGTGCGGGATTACCAAAACTGTTGTCCAGAGGGTTGTTGCCACCTTCCTCTTTTCCCATCTACCTCTTACTCTAACTGTAGCTACAACTAAATAATGATCCGATATATCAGTTGCCCCTCTATAAACATGTACATCCTGGAGCCTACCCATCAACCTTTTATCCACCAATACATAATCTAACAAACTACTTTCATTACGTGCTACATCATACCTTGTATATTTATTTATCCTCTTTTTCATAAAATATGTATTACTTATTACCAAATTTCTTTCTACACATAGCTCAATTAAAGGCTCCCCATTTACATTTACCCCTGGCACCCCAAATTTACCTACTACTCCCTCCATAACATTTTTACCCACTTTAGCATTGAAATCCCCAACCACCATTACTCTCACACTTGATTCAAAACTCCCCACGCATTCACTCAACATTTCCCAGAATCTCTCTCTCTCCTCTACACTTTTCTCTTCTCCAGGTGCATACATGCTTACTATAACCCACTTTTCACATCCAATCTTTATTTTACTCCACATAATCCTTGAATTTATACATTTGTAGTCCCTCTTTTCCTGCCATAGCTTATCCTTCAACATTATTGCTACTCCTTCTTTAGCTCTAACTCTATTTGAAACCCCTGACCTAATCCCATTTATTCCTCTCCATTGAAACTCTCCCACCCCCTTCAGCTTCGTTTCACTTAAAGCCAGGACATCCAGTTTCTTCTCATTCATAACATCCACAATCATCTCTTTCTTATCATTTGCACAACATCCACGCACATTCAGACTTCCCACTTTGACAATTTTCTTCTTCTTATTCTTTTTAGTAATCTTTACAGGAAAAGGGGTTACTAGCCCATTGTTCCCGGCATTTTAGTTGACTTTAACAACACGCATGGCTTACGGAGGAAAGATTCTTATTCCACTTCCCCCATGGATATAAAAGGAAAAGTAATAAGACCAAGAACTATTAAGATAAAATCAAAGAAAACTCAGATGAGTGTGTATAAATAAACGTGTACATGTATGTGTAGTGACCTAAGTGTAAGCATATATATATATATATATATATATATATATATATATATATATATATATATATATATATATATATATATATATATATATATATATATATATATATATATATATATATTTATATATATATATATATATATTATATATATATATTATATATATATTATATATATTTATTTATATATATATTTATTTATATTTATATTTATTTATATTTATTTATATTTATTTATTTTTATTTATATTTATTTATATTTATTTATATATATATATATATATATATATATATTTTTTTTTTTTTTTTTTCAACAAGTCGAAGAGAAGTTGCAGAGATTGTTGGATGAATTTGGTAGGGTGTGCAAAAGAAGAAAAAAGTGAATACAGGAAAGAGTAAGGTTATGAGGATAACAAAAATATTAGGTGATGAAAGATTGGATATCAGATTGGAGGGAGAGAGTATGGAGGAGATGAATGTATTCAGATATTTGGGAGTGGACATGTCAGCGGTAATTTCATGCACTGGCCAGGGAGGTATACCATCTTTTAGGAGTGAAGAAGAGCAGAATGTAAGTGTGGTGGAGGTACGTGAGGCATTACGTAGAATGAAAGGGGGTAAAGCAGCTGGAACTGATGGGATCATGATAGAAATGTAAAAAGCAGGGGGGGATATAGTGTTGGAGTGGTTGGTACTTTTGTTTAATAAATGTATGAAAGAGGGGAAGGTACCTAGGGATTGGCAGAGAGCATGTATAGTCCCTTTATATAAAGGGAAAGGTGACAAAAGAGATTGTAAAAATTATAGAGGAATAAGTTTACTGAGTATACCAGGAAAAGTATACGGTAGGGTTATAATTGAAAGAATTAGAGGTAAGACAGAATGTAGAATTACGGATGAGCAAGGAGGCTTCAGAGTGGGTAGGGGATGTGTAGATCAAGTGTTTACATTGAAGCATATATATGAACAGTATTTAGATAAAGGTAGGGAAGTTTTTATTGCATTTATGGATTTAGAAAAGGCATATGATAGAGTGGATAGAGGAGCAATGTGGCAGATGTTGCAAGTTTATGGAATAGGTGGTAAGTTACTAAATTCTGTAAAGAGCTTTTATGAGGATAGTGAGGCTCAGGTTAGGGTGTGTAGAACAGAGGGAGAATACTTCCCGGTAAAAGTAGGTCTTAGACAGGGATGTGTAATGTCACCATGGTTGTTTAATATATTTATAGATGGGGTTGTAAAAGAAGTAAATGCTAGGGTGTTCGGGAGGGGTAGGATTAAATTATGGGGAATCAAATTCAAAATGGGAATTGACACAGTTACTTTTTGCTGATGATACTGTGCTTATGGGAGATTTTAAAGAAAAATTGCAAAGGTTAGTGGATGAGTTTGAGAATGTGTGTAAAGGTAGAAAGTTGAAAGTGAACATAGAAAAGAGTAAGGTGATGAGGGTATCAAATGATTTAGATAAAGAAAAATTGGATATCAAATTGGGGGAGGAGGGGTATGGAAGAAGTGAATGTTTTCAGATACTTGGGAGTTGACGTGTCGGCGGATGGATTTATGAAGGATGAGGTTAATCATAGAATTGATGAGGGAAAAAGGTGAGTGGTGCGTTGAGGTATATGTGGAGTCAAAAAACGTTATCTATGGAGGCAAAGAAGGGAATGTATGAAAGTATAGTAGTACCAACACTCTTTATATGGATGTGAAGCTTGGGTGGTAAATGCAGCAGCGAGGAGACGGTTGGAGGCAGTGGAGATGTCCTGTCTAAGGGCAATGTGTGGTGTAAATATTATGCAGAAAATTCGGAGTGTGGAAATTAGGAGAAGGTGTGGAGTTAATAAAAGCATTAGTCAGAGGGCAGAAGAGGGGTTGTTGAGGTGGTTTGGTCATTTAGAGAGAATGGATCAAAGTAGAATGACATGGAAAGCATATAAATCTATAGGGGAAGGAAAGAGGGGTAGGGGTCGTCCTCGAAAGGGTTGGAAAGAGGGGTAAAGGAGGTTTTGTGGGCGAGGGGCTTGGACTTCCAGCAAGCGTGCACGAGCGTGTTTGATAGGAGTGAATGGAGACAAATGATACTTGGGACCTGACGATCTGTTGGAGTGTGAGCAGGGTAATATTTAGTGAAGGGATTCAGGGAAACCGGTTATTTCCAGGTGGGTCACTAGGCCCCCTGATGTAGAAATGCTTTTCCTGTACCTCTAACTCTGTACTACATGTAAAACATTAGGGGGGAATACAACTAGTTGTCTTGTCACTGAATGCCTTGTTGAATACTTTATATTTGCTTCAACCTACTGAAGTCAGCTAGTTCAGGCTTGCTGACTTTATTAGGCTACCTCATATATGCAACATAAAGTAAATTGTGTGATAATTTTGCCAAGCTGGTCTAGCTCTGGCCTGATCTTACCCTCAAAATGTTGTATAACACTTATATAAGGCTCTGTCTACTCTTTCCCAATCTTGGTTGGAAGTAAGGGCATTGAACACTGAGGATGTACGTTACAGTTTTTACTTTATTTAAAAGTAACAGTCATACATTTTTTGAGGAGGAAGTGATGTAGGTTCTTGGTGATGGAGGGCAGGATAACTTCATCACTAACTTTCTACCTTTTCTCTTATTTCATTCCATTCTTTCATGACACTAGTAGTATTCATTTGGCTTCACCTTTTTCTCAGTTTACAACTAGTATATCCATCACCACCTTTCATTTTCAAGAAATAATTTTGGCCTAACACTCACACGTACACTTGCCTGATATAGGTATGCTAACTCTCAGTCTTCAAGGCAGAGGAATTAATCACCTCAAACTACTTCTACATTTTTCTAAAGTGAGCTAGACAAAGCAGAATGGTAGGGAGGTTCAAATCTGGCAGTTTAAAGGAATACAACTGATAGGTAGCATGTTCCTGATGTAGTTCATCTAGTTCAGTGTACAGAAATCTACACTTTGCAAATACATATTTTGAGTAACTTTGTAAAATTATTATAATTTTACAAAGGCTCTTCAAGCCCTGAACTTTTTTTTTTATGTCAAGTTGCATCTACAGTAATTATCTATCAGAATTCCTTCAGAAATTAAATATTTCCAGATTATTATTTGATGCATGCTGGGAGAGAGATGATTGTGACAGGTGATGGGAAGACTGCATTACATGTGTTTTGTTACAAAGGAGAGCCCAAAACTCTGACAACTTTATTCAAAACTATAGAGGTGAGTTTCTTCTTAATAGTCTTAAAACACACACTTCTCTCAGCATTGTGTTTGCAGTTGTTTACATCAAACTTCAGGGAGAACCAAGCATTGTAATTTCAGTGTTGATTTTATGCAAGTTTTTATTTGTAAGTTGCCATCCAGAGTCTTGTATTAAAGAAAAGTGGTTCCCTATAAATAATGTACATAAAGAGAAAGATTAAAATAGGAAAGTAGGAAAATGTAACCAATGAGGATTGCCAGAAAAAAAGAAAAAGTTGAGGATGGCATGTGTGGGAGATGAACACAAGCAGATATTAAACATGTGGCAGATGGTAGGCCTGGGGTACACAGTAGGATGGGGACATGCTTTGGATGTCTACTCTTCATCTAGTGGTCATTTAGGCTAATCCAGACCACTAATATTAATGTTGTACTTAGGAAAAGATAGTTTATTTAATCACATGAAATTTACACACAAAAATGGTATTACTGAAAGTAATTACACAAAATAGTACACCGTATACCATGAACAGGTGACAAAGAACAGTAAGTAGCGACATTGAGAGGATAGATGAAACGAGGAATGATACTGTCATTGAGAGACTAGTGCAAATGTCTATCTCAAAAGATTGAGTATTGTGTATATAGTGGTACAGCAGTGTGGAATGAGTGGATAATAATGGGGTTCATAACATAAGTATTAATGCATTGCACTGAAAGAAATCAGTTTATTAGGAGGCAGTAAAGGATTTACAGTTTGATTTTGTGGCAATTTTTGCAGTACACAATTATATCTAATTGGAAATTGAGTGACATGCACCTTTACTGGTGTATTTGTTTTGTTAAGTGTTGTACTGATTATACATGAATATTGAGTAGATAGGTCAGTATAAAAGGTTGATGTCACTCTGTATTTGAACCTTCATTTCCTGTTACACTTTTCCATACAGAATATTCCGTAATCTTATGAAATTGGGCACAAAGTAGTAGTAGTGGCGATAATGTCTCATTGCTATAACAGATTTGAAATATGTATAAGAAAAATAATTTTCTTTTCTTAAAGCTTAATTTGGATATCAGTGGAGATAATTTTCACCATTATGAAGGACCAAACTCTTCAGTTGTTAGACAAGAGCATCAAGAAGCGTCATGGCTGTCCTTTTACCCATGGCGACTACGAACATTTAAATTAGACATATACAAGGAGTCCTGCGTTGGAATTGAGACAAATGCTGGATTTAAGATATATCTCAGGGTACGATGTAAGTACAGTACTGGCTTTCTTTAGTTTATAGCTTTGATTGCAAATACATATATTACAGCCTATATAAGAGTTGCATTTAATTGGCTTTACAGCCTAATGAATTATAATATCAAAACCCATATGTTTAAGTGTATACAAATTAATATTCTTTAAATTAGTACAGTACTTTAAGTTATGGAAGTTTTTCTCTCCTAAAAGCAAAGCTTTATCTTCTATTTAATATTTAACAAATTTCTATGAGGTAGAGAGATCTACTATTCTTGATCCTTGCATTTGGATTAACACGAGTGTATAACATACAAATGCCAAACCATACCACGGGCGGGATTTGAACCCGCGGTCAGAGAGTCTCAAAACTCCAGACCGTCACGTTAGCCACTGAACCAGCTAGCCACAATAAGATTTGTCCAACTAGGTATATTTCTACACCATAGGAAGTTTAGCATAGGCATCAATGTGACCACAAATGCAAGTTTTTACAGACTAATCTCCAGCTAGCATGGTTCAAATCCCGCCTGTGGTATGGTTTGTTTGCAATCGTGTCATTACGATTTCGTGAGTCATACAAATGCCAAGGTTGCCAAAGAGTCAACAATACCTCTAATTGAATGAGATCAGATGTCATGAGGCACTAGGCTGACATAATTTAGGAAGAAATTCACCTTGAAATTAGTCTCCCACTAGCACAACTTCCCAGATAAAGACTTATAAACAGACCCCTCTTGTTTTTTTGTTAATCCTTAGACTGCTGTACATACTTTGTCAGATTTTAAATTGAACGCTGGATCATTGTTGGTTATACCATCAATTTTGAATTGTTCTCTCAGTTGTTGATTATTTGTTACACATAGACTAGGATTGCATTCATGCTATTCTCTTTAAGAGAAAAAACTGTAAGATTTTGGGCAACTAACATAAAGTACAGTACATTAAACCCTTGAGTTAACAAACTGATGGGAAAAAATGGGTGGTTGGTAATGGTGATTGTGGTAGTTAGAGACGACATTGTTTTCTCCTGATTGCAGCCATACCTGAAGAGGGTTTCGGGGTCAACACCCCCGCGGCCCAGTCTGTAACCAGGCCTCATGGTGGATCAGGGCCTGATCAATCAGGCTGTTACTGTTGGCAGCATGCAACCTGACGTACGAACCACAGCCCGGCTGGTCAGGTGCCTGTCCAGTGCCTTCTTGAAGACAGCCAGGGGTCTATTGGTAATCTCCCTTATGCATGTTGGGAGGCAGTCGAATAGTCTTGGGCCCCTCACACTTATTGTGTTGGCTCTTATCATGCTAGTGGTGCCCCTGCTTTTCACTGGGGGGATGTTGCATTGTCTACTAAGTCTTTTGCTTTCATAGGCAGTGATTTTCGTGTGCAAGTTTGGTACTAATTCCTCTAGGATTTTCCAAGTGTATATAATCATGTATCTCTCCCGCCTGCATTCTAGGGAGTACAGGTTGAGGAACTCAAGCGTTCTTAGTAATTGAGGTGTGTTGTATTGCAGTTATGTGTGCCGCGAAGGTTCTCTGTACGTTTTCTAGGTCAGCAGTTTCACCTGCCTTGAAAAGTGCTGTTAGTGTGCAGCAATATTCCAGCCTAGATAGAACAAGTGACCTGAAGAGTGTCATCATGGGCTTGGCACCCCTAGTTTTGAAGGTTCTCATTATCCATCCTGTCATTTTTCTAGCAGATGCAATTGATACAATGTTGTGGTCTTTGAAAGTGAGATCCTCTGACATTATCACTCCCTGGTCTTTTACATTAATTTTTTGCTCTATTGTATAGTTGAAATTTGTTTTATACTCCGACATAGTTTTAATTTCCTCATGTTTTTCCATGTCAGAGTATTTGAAATTTCTCGTTATTGACCTTCATGTTGTTTTCTGCGGCCCATTTAAAGATTTGGTTGATGTCTGCCTGGAGTGTTGCAGTGTCTTCAGTAGAGGACACTTGTCATGCAAATTTGGGTGTCATCTGCAAAGGAAGACACGGTACTGTGCCTTGTGGAACAGAGCTTTTCACTAGCTGCCTCAGACTACTCTGTTTGCTACTACTCTCTTGTGTTCTATTTGTTAGGAAATTATAGATCCCTTTACCAACTTTTCCTGTTATTCCTTTATCACGCATTTTTTGTGCTATTACACCATGGTCACACTTGTCAAAGGCTTTTGCAAAGTCTATGTATACTACATCTGCATTTTGTTTCTAGAACATCCAGGACCTTGTCATAGTGGTCCAGTAGTTGGCACAGGTAAGAGCGACCTGCTTTAAACCCTTGTTGCCCTGGGTTTTGTAACTGATGGGTATCTAGGTTAGTGGTGGCAATCTTGCTTCTTAGAACCCTTTCAAAAAATTTTATGATGTGAGATGTTAGAGCTATCGGTCTGTAGTTCTTTGCTATTGCTTTACTGCCCCCTTTGTGGAGTGGGGCTGTGTCTGTTATTTTTAGCAGCTGTGGGACAACTCTTGTGTTCATGCTCCCTCTCCATAGGATGTTAAAAGCACATGATAGAGGTTTCTTGCAGTTCTTGATGAACACGGAGTTCCACGAGTCTGGGCCTGGGGCAGAGTGCATTGGCATGCCATTTATCGCCTTTTCAAAGTCATTTGGCATCAGGATGATATCAGATAGGTTTGAGTCTACCAAATTCTGTGTCTCGCTCATAAAAAATTCATTTAGATCTTCGACTCTCAGTTTGGTCAGCAGCTCACAAAAAACAGTCATATTGGGACTTGAGTAGCTCACTCGTTTCCTTGCTGTCGTCTGTGTAGGACCCATCTCGTCTGAGTAGGGGCCCAATACTGGATGTTGTTCTCAACTTAGATTTGGCATAAGAAAAGAAATATTTTGGGTTTCTTTCTATTTTGTTTATGGTTTTTAGTTGTTCTTGTGTTTCTTGACTCTTGTAAGATTCCTTTAGCTTAAGTTCAATGTTTGCTATTTCTCTGACCAGACATATTGACCTCTTTTAGCCACTCTGTTATTCTTTGCTTTTGCCTGTATAGGGAGTGCCTTTCTCTTTCTAGTTTACTTCTTCTCTTCTTTTTCTGTAAAGGAATATGCACTGAGCATACCTCGAGTGCCATAGAGTTAATTTTTTCTAGACATAGGTTTGGATCCATGTTGCTTAGGATATCTTCCCAGTTTGTATCATTTAGGACCTGGTTGACTTGGTCCCACCTTACGTTTTTATTATTGAAGTTGAATTTGGTGAAGGCTCCCTCGTGACTGATCACATTTTGTTGGTCTGGGGCCCTGAGCATACATGTCTGAACCTCTATTATGTTGTGATCTGAGTATTTTATTTTTGATATGGTAATATTTCATATCAGATCATCATTGTTAGTGAAGATGAGGTCCAGTGTATTCTCTAGTTGTGTTGACTGTTATTTGCTGGTTTAAGGCGAGTTGGTACAAAGATTTAAAAGCACGTGTGTTTGCGAGTTTTCATCCGATCTGAGCTGCCTCCTGGGGTTATCTCTGCTACAGTTCTGTAATTATCTGACTTAATTTTCTCCAGATCAGCTGACCCTGTGAATTTTGTTCCATATTTCTGAAGCTCATTGAATCGAAGGACTGTGGCAATGTGAAAAGCATAATTCATAGTGAAGAAGAAGAGTTCATAAGTTAATTTAGTTATGTAGAAATAAGTGAGTAAGAAAGGATTTTAAATCTGGGGTAGATGGAAGGTGGTGTAAAACTCATCTGATGAAGGATTGGAGGAGGGGGGGAAGAAAGAGATGAGAGGTAAGAACTTAGATATTAACCCTTTCGTTGTCCGTGCCGTAGTACTATGGGTTTGAAATCATTGTCGGTGCTGTAGTACTGTGCCATGAGCTCAGCTCACTCAGATAAGCTGTGAGCAGTAAATGTGGGCCTAGAATATGAGAGAATGGGTCTGTGTGGTAAATGTCACCACATAAAAAAATCCTGCAGCACAGTGCATATTGAGAAAAAAAAAAGACTGTGACAGTGTTTTTGGTTTAAAACAGCAACTTTGTGGTATATATTCGTATGGTTTTTATGGTTGTATTCTCGGTTTCTTGGTCTCATTTGATAGAATGGAAGATATATAACAGAAATAGAGATTTTGATTGGTTTCAGGACTGAAAATAGCTTGAAATTGTGGTCAGAGTAACGGATATGTTTGATTTTTGCCCATGTTCAAGAGTAATCAAATCACATCACTCCTCCAATACATGTCCAACTGGTGGATCTAATATGCTACATGAATGCACTGAAATTATTTATACAGTTATTACAATATTGCATAACAGTAAATCTTCCATTTTTGTGTGTGAATAAAAAATCAAAATGGAATTAATGTGTAAAGCCTGGAAACATAACTAATGAACAGAGGAAATGTTATTTTAGTTCCAGGAATGTTTGCATTGTTTATTCTGAACCCTATTTTGAAATTTGTGTGAAACTGGCCAAATTACCAGTTTCTGATCACTTTATTGGGTAGTTGAAATAGTTGATTGGGCAGTTTCTTGTGCTCAGTTAATAAAATGGAAAACATAATAGCAAAATACCTAAGCATAGGGTCTACTTGAACAATGTAATTGGCCTAAAATAGGATTCAAAGTGGGCAAAAATACTGATGCGTAAATTTTGCTGGCACAGCAAAATTCGTGAAAGTGTGATTTCATCAATTTCCATCAAATTTTGTACTTTTTATTTTATTACCTTCAGAAAAAGATTCCCTACCATTTCATAAGAAATTTTTTTTTTTTTTTAAGTTCTTGGACACTATGGACAAGTTTCGGATCGGAGATCTGGACAACGAAGGGGTTAAGGTGGTAGTATATGCAAGTGTTAGACTGGCGTGAGTTGAGACAGGTCACCTATTGATTTTGTGTTTGAATGTGAGCAAGGTAATACCTTTGAAGAAACTTTTAAAATAAGTTAGAAAATGGAATGAAAATGCACTGGAGAGTGGAGTGGGATGGTTGTTTCTGGTGTGTCACTACTAGCCTTTGGGTCACCCACCCTTGGCGGAAGACAGCAATTGAGGTTAAGAAAAAATAACAATACTGGCGTATAATGTACTAATTATAATTAATTCTACATGTTTGCATGTTAATTTATTAAGGATAAGAAAGCTTTAAAAACAAGGAGGTTCCCTGTTCCCAGTGAGGGGTCCTTGGATCTTGGTACCCCTTCCTTAGACCAAACCTGATTGTTTCCCATTCTCCCAAGTGCTGTATGACCCCTATGGTTTAGAGCTTCCCCATGATGGTTAATAATAATAAATTTTGAGTACTAATGACCCAAATGAAACGAATGATTTCCAAGTTGGAGAGATGATATGTAACTTTTGTTTATAAGATATTCAGGTTTCAAGTAGGACTAAATTGGAAGCACCTTGTTAAGAGATAATGATCCATAAATATTATTATGTATGAATGATGGTGAAAGTTTTTTCTTTATTTTGGGTTTTTCTTTCTTTTTGGGTCACCCTGCCTCGGTGGGACACAGCCGTGTTAAAAAAAAAAATTATGAAATACTACCTGGAATGTTTTACTCTCATCCTCTATTGATAAAACATTCCTCTTTCATGAAACATTACACTTGGGTCCTGAAGATATTTAAATTCTTGTCTGCTTTCCCCAGTAAGTTCAACCAGATTTATTTACTAGCCTTAACATTTGACATTCAATGCGAGTTTTTCACTGGAATAATCGTGAAATTAAGATTTATAAAAAGACTTAACTTTTAGTAATTTTTTTTTTTTTTTCAACAAGTCGGCCGTCTCCCACCGAGGCAGGGTGACCCAAAAAAGAAAGAAAATCCCCAAAAAGAAAATACTTTCATCATCATTCAACACTTTCACCACACTCGCACATTATCACTGTTTTTGCAGAGGTGCTCAGAATACAACAGTCTAGAAGCATACACATATAAAGATACACAACATATCCCTCCAAACTGCCAATATCCCAAACCCTCCTTTAAAGTGCAGGCATTGTACTTCCCATTTCCAGGACTCAAGTCCGACTATATGAAAATAACCGGTTTCCCTGAATCCCTTCACTAAATATTACCCTGCTCACACTCCAACAGATCGTCAGGTCCCAAGTACCATTCGTCTCCATTCACTCCTATCTAACACGCTCACGCACGCTTGCTGGAAGTCCAAGCCCCTTACCCACAAAACCTCCTTTACCCCCTCTCTCCAACCCTTTCGAGGACGACCCCTACCCCGCCTTCCTTCCCCTATAGATTTATATGCTTTCCATGTCATTCTACTTTGATCCATTCTCTCTAAATGACCAAACCACCTCAACAACCCCTCTTCTGCCCTCTGACTAATACTTTTATTAACTCCACACCTTCTCCTAATTTCCACACTCCGAATTTTCTGCATAATATTTACACCACACATTGCCCTTAAACAGGACATCTCCACTGCCTCCAACCGTCTCCTCGCTGCTGCATTTACCACCCAAGCTTCACACCCATATAAGAGTGTTGGTACTACTATACTTTCATACATTCCTTCTTTGCTCCATAGATAACGTTTTTTGACTCCACATATACCTCAACGCACCACTCACCTTTTTTCCCTCATCAATTCTATGATTTAAACCTCATCCTTCATAAATCCATCCGCCGACACGTCAACTCCCAAGTATCTGAAAACATTCACTTCTTCCATACTCCTCCTCCCCAATTTGATATCCAATTTTTCTTTATCTAAATCATTTGACACCCTCATCACCTTACTCTTTTCTATGTTCACTTTCAACTTTCTACCTTTACACACATTCCCAAACTCATCCACTAACCTTTGCAATTTTTCTTTAGAATCTCCCATAAGCACAGTATCATCAGCAAAAAGTAACTGTGTCAATTCCCATTTTGAATTTGATTCCCCATAATTTAATCCCACCCTCTCCCAAACACCCTAGCATTTACTTCCTTAACAACCCCATCTATAAATATATTAAACAACCATGGTGACATTACACATCCCTGTCTAAGACCTACTTTTACCGGGAAATAGTCTCCTCTTTTCTACACACCCTAACCTGAGCCTCACTATCTTCATAAAAACTCTTTACAGCATTTAATAACTTACCACCTATTCCATATACTTGCAACATCTGCCACATTGCTCCTCTATCCACTCTATCATATGCCTTTTCTAAATCCCTAAATGCAATAAAAACTTCCCTACCTTTATCTAAATACTGTTCACATATATGCTTCAATGTAAACACTTGATCTACACATCCCCTACCCACTCTGAAACCTCCTTGCTCATCCGCAATCCTACATTCTGTCTTACCTCTAATTCTTTCAATTATAACCCTACCGTACACTTTTCCTGGTATACTCAGTAAGCTTATTCCTCTATAATTTTTACAGTCTCTTTTGTCCCCTTTCCCTTTATATAAAGGGACTATACATGCTCTCCGCCAATCCCTAGGTACCTTCCCCTCTTTCATACATTTATTGAACAAAAGTACCAACCACTCCAACACTATATCCCCCCCTGCTTTTAACATTTCTGTCATTGATCCCATCAGTACCAGCTGCTTTACCCCCTTTCATTTTACGTAATGCCTCACGTACCTCCCCCACACTTACATTCTGCTCTTCTTCACTCCTAAAAGATGGTATACCTCCCTGACCAGTGCATGAAAATTACTGCCTCTGTTTCTTCCTTAACATTTAAAAGTTCCTCAAAATATTCTCCCCATCTCCCTAATACCTCCATCTCCCCATCTACTAACTTCCCTACTCTGTTTTTAACTGACAAATCCATATTTTCCCTTGGCTTTCTTAACTTGTTTAACTCACTCCAAAAATTTTTTCTTATTTTCATTAAAATTTCTTGACAGTGCCTCTCCACTCTATCATCTGCTCTCCTTTTGCACTCTCTCACCACTCTCTTTACCTTTCTTTTACTCTCCATATATTCTGCTCTTCTTATAACACTTCTGCTTTGTAAAAAACCTCTCATAAGCTACCTTTTCTCTTTTATCACCCCTTTACTTCATCATTCCACCAATCACCCCTCTTTCCTCCTGCACCCACCCTCTATAACCACAAACTTCTGCCCCACATTCTAATACTGCATTTTTAAAACTATTCCAACCCTCTTCAACCCCCCCATTACTCATCTTTGCACTATCCCACTTTCTGCCAATAGTCGCTTATATCTCGCCCGAACTTCCTCCTCCCTTAGTTTATACACTTTCACCTCCCTCTTACTTGTTGTTGCCACCTTCCTCTTTTCCCATCTACCTCTTACTCTAACTGTAGCTACAACTAAATAATGATCCGATATATCAGTTGCCCCTCTATAAAACATGTACATCCTGGAGCCTACCCATCACCTTTTATCCACCAATACATAATCTAATAAACTACTTTCATTACGTGCTACATCATACCTTGTATATTTATTTATCCTCTTTTTCATAAAATATGTATTACTTATTACCAAATTTCTTTCTACACATAGCTCAATTAAAGGCTCCCCATTTACATTTACCCCTGGCAACCCCAAATTTACCTACTACCTCCCTCCATAACATTTTTACCCACTTTAGCATTGAAATCCCCAACCACCATTACTCTCACACTTGATTCAAAACTCCCCATGCATTCACTCAACATTTCCCAAAATCTCTCTCTCTCCTCTACACTTCTCTCTTCTCCAGGTGCATACACGCTTATTATAACCCACTTTTCACATCCAATCTTTATTTTACTCCACATAATCCTTGAATTAATACATTTATAGTCCTCTTTTCCTGCCATAGCTTATCCTTCAACATTATTGCTACTCCTTCTTTAGCTCTAACTCTATTTGAAACCCCTGACCTAATCCCATTTATTCCTCTCCATTGAAACTCTCCCACCCCCTTCAGCTTTGTTTCACTTAAAGCCAGGACATCCAGCTTCTTCTCATTCATAACATCCACAATCATCTCTTTCTTATCATCTGCACAACATCAATATTTATTGATAATTGCATTAACAGGAAATAAACCTTGTGTTTTTTATTATAATAATTTAGTGTGCTTGTTCCAACAAATCATTTTAAAATATAACAGTTACATTACAAAAAGTAATTATTTATACTGTTTGAAATCAAACTTCATTTCATATTTTTGAACAAAAATAGTATCATATGTATATTAAATATTTGTTTTTGGAATGTTCATGCAAAATTCCGAGTAAAACAAGAGCAAATATGTCCAGTGTCTGAGCATTAAATAGAGTAAATGCAAATAATTTTTGATAAGTATTTATTAATTTTGTTATATAGAAAACTCTTAGGAACTTTGCTGTAATAGAAAGGTGCTGTCTTAGTACACATAGGAACTTCCAGACTATATTACACAGGTAAGGTGCTGTCTTAGTAATATAAATCAATCAAGGTTATTTTATATATCTGTGAATACGACGAGAGTGGTGTGTACGCGCTTCATGAAGTGCCTCTTCTAGCACACTTGTCATATGTACTAAGTTGTTAGGATCTGTCTGAAGTAGTAACTTATCATACACTGGCTCTGACTGCTTTCCTCCACCATCATCTTCGTTAGTCTGAGAGCCTAAGGAAAAAAAAAATACAGTAGTACTTAATTTTCCAAAACACTGAATGAATGGATAACTGAAAAGAAAATTAGTGTTAATATATTAAATCAAAATTAGGGTTGTCATATAAGGCTGTGTGTATGTAGTGGTAAGTAGAATTTAGAATATAGCCTCTCCTCACTTAACGATGGAGTTCCATTCCTAAGACCACATAGGTAAATAAATACGTCACTAAGCAAGGAGCATACTATAATGGTAGTGGGTTTGTGTCAGCCATCTTTGATATTGTTTTAATGTCACCTTTGCACCACTTATAATACTTTTGTATATTTTTAGATGTTTATACAGTAGTGTACTGTATATTTTAATAAAAAGAATAGAGGAAATCAGCTCTAATATACATTATTTAGGTATGCATACTGGTCAAAGAGCCCATTGCAAGTCCGAGTCGTCGGTAAACGAGTATGTTGCTAAGTGAGGAGAGGCTGTATTGTATTTGCACGTATAACCAAGATGTAATGAATAAGAAAATTAACAAACGAAAAAGGTTTTGCTGGAAAGGATTTTTTCCTAAGAAAAGGTACTTGAGAATTATAATAAATGAAATTACTGTATTATTATTAAATTTATCCCCATGAAAACTGTAATAGGCTGTTAATGTAGAACTGCCTGGTTACTAAATTTCAGGTGGAGATTAGTAGGAAAGGGGTAAAAGAGGTTTTGTGTGAAAGGGACTTGGGCATACAGCAGGCATGTGTGTGTGTGTTAGGAGTAGGTGGAGATAAATGACTTTTGGGACTTGGCAGTGAGCAGGGTAATATTCTTTGAAGGAATTCAGGGAAACTGGTTAGCTGGATTTGAGTCCTGGAGGTGGGAAGTACAATGCCTGCACTTTCAAGGAGGGGTTTAGGATATTTGCTGTTTTTGAGTGACGTCTGAACTGTCATATCTGCACGCCTCTGCAAAGACGATGATTATGCGTGAATGATGGTGTTTTTTTTTCTCTCTCTCTCTGGTTACCCTGCCTCGGTGGGAGACAGCTGATGTGTTAAAATATAAAATAGGAAGCACGTCTTTGTGTGGCTGAAAAGTTAATTGTGAAGCAGATGCAAAGTTCTGTAAATTAGGGCACCAACTTAAGTGATGATACTGAAGAAGGAAGAATGACAGGTGGGTAAGGAGCTCCAGGAAAAAATGACAGTTATAAAGGTGCTGTTTGGGGTAGGGGTCGTCCTCGAAAGGGTTGGAGAGAGGGGGTAAAGGAGGTTTTGTGGGCAAGGGGCTTGGACTTCCAGCAAGCGTGCATGAGCGTGTTAGATAGGAGTGAATGGAGACAAATGGTACTTGGGACCTGACAATCTGTTGGAGTGTGAGCAGGGTAATATTTAGTGAAGGGATTCAGGGAAACCGGTTATTTTCATATAGTCGGACTTGAGTCCTGGAAATGGGAAGTACAATGCCTGCACTTTAAAGGAGGGGTTTGGGATATTGGCAGTTTGGAGGGATATGTTGTGTATCTTTATATGTGTATGCTTCTAAACTGTTGTATTCTGAGCACCTCTGCAAAAAGTGATAATGTGTGAGTACGGTGAAAGTGTTGAATGATGATGAAAGTATTTTCTTTTTGGGGATTTTCTTTCTTTTTTGGGTCACCCTGCCTCGGTGGGAGACGGCCGACTTGTTGAAAAAAAAAAAAATGCACATCTCAAAATAAATGATGTCATGCACAAAATATAGAAAATAATTTTCATATAATTTACACACTTACAAGTTTATTTGAAAATATTTCTTGAATTTACTGTGGTTGATGACAATTTCTACAAAGTTATTTACTTGCCTGGACAAGTATGTGTATCTAAGGACAGCTGCAGTGTAATGAGAGGTTCCGCTATGTGACTAAGTGCTCGTGAGCCAACCAGGATGTCGAACCTCCATTCCAAATTGTGGTAATGTGGTATCTGAAAATGAAAATAGTACTATTAGAAAAAATTATGTACTGTACTTACATGCATGCAGAATTTAATATAGAAGCTGTTGGTATGCATGTGCCTCTGCTACCTCCCCACCTCTTTCACAAAGCTATATTAATCAGTCAATTGGAATCAAGAGATGGGTCTAGGAGCTACAGCTCAATCAACACAAACTCCAAAGCATAAGTGTGTGTGTGTGTGTGTGTGTGTGCGCACTACGATCTCTAGAAATTTACAAATTATTATTATAGATAATTACAGGCAAACAAGATCATCTACCTAAATGTTTGTATATCTTTGGTTAAGTAAAGGTACAAGATAAAAAAAAATCCCTTTTTATATGTGGACTCAACTTACGTGAATTCACCACTGTGCCATCCTATTTCTATCAGTAATTCCGTATGTGTCTTGTACATTTGCTCTTCGAGATGTGCAGTTTCAATAGTATTAAAATTCTGTGAGCAACTTTGTTGATGGTATGATTGAGCTTCGTACAGCTGCTGTGAGCCTGGAGTGTATTAACCACATAAAATCAGACATCTGAACAGTAGGTTTCAGCGAACATTACAATACATCATTTTGTTACTTACCTGAACACCCATTTTTTTTAAATACTCCTTCAATTCCCCTTCATTATCAGTATAAGCATCAGTGAGTACATTCACTGCAGCTTCAGTGAAGCCCAGTGTGGTAATGAGGTCTTGGAACTCCATCTTGGTAGCAGTTGCTTGCGTACTGTGCGAGAGGAGAAAAACAAGTGCTCGGATGGCATCTTCCACCTGTAAATTACAAAATATATAGTCAGTATGCACCTTCTGAGTACAAGATGTATAAATGGTGGAATACTTTTAAGAGTATTTAAAATGATTTAAGTGATACAATTTTTTTACAGAGAGATAGGAGAGAATATATGCTGTATATCCTTTTAGCCTTTTACAATAAAAATCAGTATTCCATAGCAGGGACTAACATAAAAATCTACAAATTACATATGAAAACAGGATGATGCTTTTGTCCAATGCTGACCTCTGATGGCAGGAAACCCAGTGTTTACCTGTGATTGCAGGACACCCCAGTGTTTACCCGTGATGGCAGGACACCCCAGTGTTTACTTGTGATGGCAGGACACCCCAGTGTTTACGTGTGATGGCAGGACACCCCAATGTTTACCTGTGATTGCAGGACACCTCTCTTTACCTGTGATGGCAGGACACCCCAGTGTTTACCTGTGATTGCAGGACACCCCAGTGTTTACCTGTGATGGCAGGACACCCCAGTGTTTACCTGTGATGGCAGGACACCCCAGTGTTTACCTGTGATTGCAGGACACCCCAGTGTTTACCTGTGATTGCAGGACACCCCAGTGTTTACCCGTGATGGCAGGACACCTCAGCGTTTACCTGTGATGGCAGGACACACCAGTCTTTACCTGCGATGGTAGGAAACCCCAGTGTTTACCTGTGATTGCAGGACACCCCAGTGTTTACCTGTGATTGCAGGACACCCCAGTGTTTACCTGTGATGCCAGGACACCTGTGATGGCAGGACACCCGTGTTTACCTGTAATGGCAGGACACCCCAGTGTTTACTTGTGATGGCAGGACACGCCAGTGTTTACCTGTGATGGCAGGACACCCAGTTTTACCCGTGGGGGCAGGCACCTGTGTTTCCCTGTGTTGCAGGACACCCAGTGTTTACTGTGATGGCAGGATGCCCCAGTTTTTTACCTGTGATTCCAGGACACCCCAGTGCTTACCTGTGATTCCGGACACCCCGTGCTTAACCTGTGATGGCAGGACACCCAGTGTTTACTGTAATGGCAGGACACCCCAGTGTTTACTTGTGATGGCAGGACATCCAGTGTTTCCCTGTAAATGGCAGGACCCCCCAGTGTTTCCCATGATGGCAGGACACCTCATTTTTTACCTGTGATGGCAGGACACCCCAGTGTTTACCTGTGATGGCAGGACCCCCCAGTTTTTACCGGGTGATGGCAGGACACCCATGTTTTCCCTGTGATGGCGGGCACCCCAGTGTTTACCTGTAATGGCAGGACCCCAGTGTTTACCTGTAATGGCAGGACCCCAGTGTTTACCTGTGATGGCAGGACATCCCAGTGTTCCTGTGATGGCAGGACACCCCCAGTTTTTTCCCTGTGATTGCAGGACACCCCAGTTTTTACCGTGAGGGCGGGGACCCCCAGTGTTTACCTGTGTTTCCAGGAACCCAGTGCTTACCTGTGATGGCAGGACACCCCAGTGTTTACCTGTGATGGCAGGACACCCCAGTTTACCTGTAATGGCAGCACCCAGTGTTTCCCTTGTGATGGCGGACACCCAAGTGTTACCTGTGATGGCAGGACGCCCCAGTGTTCCCTGTGATTGCAGGACACCCCAGTTGTTTACCTGTGATGGCAGGACACCCCAGTGTTTACTTGTGATGGCAGGACACCCACTGTTTACCTGTAATGGCAAGACACCCACTGTTTACCTGTAATGGCAGGACACCCACTGTTTACCTGTGATGGCAGGGCACCCACTGTTTACCTGTGATGGCAGGACACTCGTTTTTTAACCTGTGATGGCAGGACACCCCAGTTTTTCACCTGTGTTGGCAGGACACCCAGTGTTTACCTGTGATGGCAGGACACCCCAGTGTTTAACTGGTGATGGCAGGACACCCACTGTTTACCTGTGATGGCAGGACACCCCAGTGTTTACCTGTGATGGCAGGACACCCAGTGTTTACCTGTGATGGCAGGACACCCCAGTGTTTACCTTTTGATGGCAGGACACCGTGTTTACCTGTGTTTGGGCAGGACACCCCAGTGTTTACCTGTGATGGCAGGACACCCCAGTGTTTACCGTGATGGCAGGACACCCCAGTGTTTACTGTGAGGGCAGGACACCCAGTGTTTAACCTGTGATGGCAGGACACCCCAGTGTTTACCTGTGATGGCAGGACACCCCAGTGTTTACCTGTGATGGCAGGACACCCCAGTGTTTACCTGTGATGGCAGGACACCCCAGTGTTTACCTGTGATGGCAGGACACCCCAGTGTTTACCTGTGATGGCAGGACACCCAGTGTTTACCTGTGATGGCAGGACACCCAGTGTTTACCTGTGATGGCAGGACACCCAGTGTTTACCTGTGATGGCAGGACCCCCCAGTGTTCCCGTGATGGCAGGCACCCCGTGTTTACCTGTGATGGCAGGACACCGTGTTTACCTGTGATGGCAGGACACCCCAGTGTTTACCTTGATGGCGGACCCCAGTTTTTCCTGTGAGCAGGACACCCCAGTGTTTACCTGTGATGGCAGGACACCCCAGTGTTTACCTGTGATGGCAGGACACCCAGTTTGTGTGCCGCCGAGGCAAACACTTTGGGGTGGACGCCATGTTTAACAAATTGGGCGGCCAGGCCACAGAAGTCATTGAGGACGGCTGCGTCCTGCTTCACCAACAAGGACAGTTGACTCTTGTGCTCCTGAGATAATGGTGGCACCATTGTGTGTTGCTGCTGCCGTTACTGTTACTACTGCCGTTACTGTTACTGTTGCACCTGATGATGGTGGCGTCCTCCCCCTCACTCAGCTGATTGTGTTTACCTCCGCCACCGCCCCTCACCCCTGCCTTCCACCCCTCTTTTCCCTCCCAGCCTTATGCACTTCCCTCCCTCCCATCAAGATCCCTCTCAATGAGCATTAAAATGGTATAAAATACCGACAGGTTGTTAGGTAAGACACATATGCAACAGTTAGGTATCTTTATTTCGAAACGTTTCGCCTACACAGTAGGCTTCTTCAGTCGAGTACAGAAAAATTGATAGAAGCAGAAGATACTTGAAGACGATGTAATCAGTCCATCACCCTTAAAGTTTTGAGGTGGTCAGTCCCTCAGTCTGGAGAAGAGCTTTGTTCCATAGTATGTTTCATACTATGGAACAAAGCTCTTCTCCAGACTGAGGGACTGACCACCTCAAAACTTAAGGGTGATGGACTGATTACATCGTCTTCAAGTATCTTCTGCTTCTATCAACTTTTCTGTACTCGACTGAAGAAGCCTACTGTGTAGGCGAAACGTTTCGAAATAAAGATACCTAACTGTTGCATATGTGTCTTACCTAACAATCCCTCTCAATCTCCTATCCCTGTCTTTCTCCCCTCCCCTCCCCTCTCATTCTCCCTCTTTTCCCTTTTACACTGAAAAATAATTATTTTATATTACCGTTCCTTCATTTTGACTTTGCTGTATTATGACAATCACTTTTAATAATTAGAATTAACATATAATTATTGTTTCTTATTACAATGTAATTTATCATCAGTATTTCTGTAATCTTAATAATTTCATAAATTATTTTATGGAGTCTTGTCTGCCCGTAGTATATTGCATAACAGTGATTTTTTCGTGTGTAACAAAACCAGTATTATTCCATTACTTGTAAGATGTAGTAGTATTTTATTTTCCCTCCCTATCTCTCCCTACATGACCCTTCCTTTCCCTCCCCAATACGTACTCCACATCCCTCCATCCCCGTGGCCTACCTTCCTACCCCTCCCCATGACCTTCACCTTCCCCGTGACCTCGTTCTCCGAACATTGAATGGTTATATATATGACCATAATTTTTAAAGGGGTGGAGGGGTGAGCCAGTGGAAGGCCTCGGTCAGGTGACCAGAAGCTCCAACGGCAGGTCATCTAAGACCCACGTCAGGAAACACTTGTTCTGTTTCCTGAATGAATACAAGGTATAATATAACACAACTCATCGAATGAAACTCATCAAATGAAACTCATCGAATGAAACTCAACGAATGAAACTCAACGAATGAAACTCAACATTGAGATTACACAATAGAAGTGATAAAAAAAAATTTTGATCGATCGATCTGTATTCATGTGATCTACGGATTCTGAGGAAGGAATATATACAAAGAAAGAGTGTTTAACAGAAAGGCAGATTCGGTGCACTCAAATCTAGACTGTTAACTCTCAGAATTCGGAGAGAACGTGAACACACAAAAAAAATTCTTGAATACTGATAAGTTGATACTGTAATTATTCATCTATACAGGTTATTACATTTAACCCAACTCTGCTAGGGTAAGATTGACATATGCAGAATGGGTGTCATCTCTGGGAGGATCAAACTCTGTTGCATTGGCTAACTCATGCTGTATTTGAGGCAAATCTGAATTGGAAGTTACAAATGATACTTGAGGATTTCTCAATACCTGTCGTGTACGTAAGGAATAACGACATTCAGGTTGATCATCTGACTGAGTATCAGAGGAAGAGAGTACAGGATCAGGAGGATTGTCAGAGTCTGTCACATTAGACTGGGTTGGAACATCATTATCATCACATACTAACTTCATATGATCTAAATGCGATTCTTTATACTGACCAGTACTAATTTCTCTAACCTTATACTTATTACCAGTGATATGTTCAACTACTCGATAAGGACCAACAAACTTTTGATCAAGCTTTGGCATTGCAGAGTTTGTTAAAGTTAGTCAGCATAACTCTCGAACCTACTTGATTTTTGGATGGCTTTTGCTCGAGTGTTTGCGACTCTTGTAAATTCTGCTGTTGATTTATGAAGTGTTTCACGGATTCTTCTAAAAACACTTTGACTAAGCTGGTACGAGTTGCTATGAAATCATCAGGGTTGTAATTTGGTTTCGGATTAGAATATAACAACTCATAAGGCAAACGTTTATCTACACCAGTACAATGCATAATGTGGAGTGTCACCTATAGAAACATTGTAAGCAGAATTATAGCACACTGCACATCAGGTATAACTTCATCCCAAGTTTCACTGTTGGGATTGATAGTGGCTCTCAAGACATCAAGTATTTTTTATTGGTTCTTTCCGCTAACCCATTGCTGGCAGGATGATGAGGAACAATGGTGGATTTAGAGATCTTGTACAAGGTACACAAATTTTTCAAGAATCTCATTACAGAATTCACCTCCATTATCTGTTACTAGGGACTTAGGGGTGTATGCCTGCAGATAATGCGTTCTTTTGAATGCTTTAGCTTCTGTCTCGCAGTCTTATCTGCAATAGGAACTAACTCACAATATCTGGTGAAATGGTCTACCATAACACACAGATGTTTGTTGCCTTGGAGGCAACATTGGAAATTAGTTAACAAATCTAGCGCAACTCTTTCCCACGGTTCGCCAGTAGTTGGATACACTTGGATTGGATTAGGGCCATTAGCATTACCTTTATGTTGCATGCAGACACTACATTTCTTAACATACTCAGATATATCAGTTGCCATATGAGGCCAAAAGTATTTCAATCTGGCTTGTTTTACTGAACGATCCATACCAGGGTGTGCAACACCTGGTACATTGTGAACTACCTGTAAGGCTACATTCACTAGTGACTGTGGAATTACTAACTGGTATACTCTTTTGCTAGGAGTACCCAACTCGGCTGTTCGATACAGTAATTCTTGGTTCATGACAAAGTCACTGATGGGTGCTGGTGGCTTCACAGTAAGAATAAGATCTTCCTGGAACAGGAATCGAATCACCAGAACACAAGGGATCGGTTCTTTCTTACTGGAGGAATGAACAAACTCGGTGGAGTGGATGACTCCCCCCGGTTGAAAAAAATTAATGCTATAACACGCAATATGAGCAAGGGAGAACGAATCTACTATCTCAAACTGCAAGCACAGGAGAAAAGAAATGAACACGGAGAACAATGCTGATATTCAATCTGAGTCGCACACAGTGACACGAGGTATCAGCTATAAACTTCACTTACAAACGTTAACAACACGGAAGTTACTCGAGAAATAACTTCTTACAATGCACTGATTACTGTCAACTAGGATGGGATCACAATCTGAAACACAAGGACAACAAAACACTCAAGTGAGCACACTAGCCACAGAAACGTCTTTCTGCAACGGCTTGTGGCATCAGCAAGAGATGGCATAACTCGTTGCAAGTAAAGTTCTTCTCAAAGCGTCCCCTGGGAAGGAACGAATACTTGAACAAGTCGCCATTGCAAGGATAGTAATCGCACTATCCTGCGTGCATATATTGTGGCTGGAGTCCAGACAGGAGTGACAGTATTACTAGTGCCTGACCACTCGGCTACGTTAATAAGTAATTCACGGATCTATAGGAACTTAATCTGAACTTCACATTTCACAGCACTTTAACAAATCTCAGATACAAGCTGTGAGAACAAACACATTGCTCAAGGGCTAGGTATTGTCTTTCAGTCAGTAAGGGAATGTTGGTACTGTGGACTGATTCATATTGACTTTGACTGGCATGATACACTAAGTGAACAGAAATTCACTGTAAATGTCTCACACACGCAAATGTCTTTAAATGCAAGAAAAATGTCTCTAAACAGAAAATTATCGCTGGAGTCTGAAGTAGTCGATGGTGATGGTGACGAGGGTAGGTTGTCGAAGGTTGTCCTGCGCGGTGATGACTGACGCCTCCTACACTCACTGTTGTCGGAAGAAATGCGCTTTCTCGGTGAACTCACATAACTGGCTTCATCGTTGGCGCTCAGCTACAATCTCTTGACCAATTATGTGAGCCAAAACAGTATTAGGACCCGGTACAAGGGTGCAAACAACCACAGGTAGATGAGGTGGGTGGCGGTGGTGGTGTGAGTAGAGTGGATGGGGGGTGGTGGGAGTGACTCGCTGGCGCTCACTGGCGCGCACTCCACTCACTACCCACGAAGGTGGCTTGATAAGCTGCTCTATGCCACAGGAATGGTGAAATTCACTCTTAGCATCCAACAGGGCGCACAAAGCGATATATGAGACAATACTTCAGAGGAACTTGCGTGGCTTACTTCTCTCTCTCAGCTGGGTTAGAAGCTGGGTTGGCTGACTGGCTTAACCCACGAGAATGGCCGACTGGAAGACGGGTAATGATGCACACAGCATGAAGGAGCAGGTGGATGACAGGAGACAGGCTGGATGGTAGGCTGAGGCAGGCTGACTAGCGTTCACTTCCACAGTCTGGCTTACTGACTGGCTTAATTGCAAAATCCGGGTCAACCCCTCGGAGATTGAAGCAATTAGCACACGAACTAAACCAGGAAGCTTGAAACGGCTGCAACAGGCTTGCGGGCTACAGGGTGGAGGTTGTGAGGGGAGCGAGTAGCTGGAGATGGGTGAGACGGCTCACCTTTTGACCCGCCGGCTACTCACAAACAGTCTTCTAACGTCTTGAAATACCCTTAAAAAAGCTTAAATCCACGCTCCCACACCGTTGCCACCATTTATCATGTGGGGTTCGAACACATGGATAGGGTAAAGAAATACTCACGTAGGCTGGTAGTACGTATAATTATGAATAGTGTGGGAAGCGCCAAACAGCCGTGACCTGCCTCCTTGCTCTCACTCGTAAGACTGACTAACCCCAGTACCCATATGTGAGGGGGGTGTTTGAAATACTGCTGTGGTCAGCAATATGAATACAGACAGTGATTCACGCAGAGACGGTTGGTAGCGAGCCATCTACTGGTACACTGGTTACTAGGAACTGGTACTAGTACTACTACTGAGAAGGAAACACTTGTTCTGTTTCCTGAATGAACCTTATCTAACCTACCCTCATTCCCCTCTCATCTTCCCCGTCTTCAACCTCCCTCCCCTTCCCTTTCACTTCCTTCATCCCCCCTTCCCCATCGTTCCCAATTCCTCCCTCCCTGAGAGTAGCACACTGAAGAGCATAACGTGGGAAAAAAAAATAGTTTGAGGCAAGTCTCGGAGCTGCAGCTCAACCTATGCAAAGTTATCTACAGCTGTGTACAGGGTATATTCAGCATACATATATACATGCATATGAATTCTGTTATTGAGAAATGTAAAATACAGTGTCAGTCTTGAAGCATCCTCTAGTCTTCTTCCTATGATTCTTGTAATGGGTTCCTAATTCAAGAATTGAATCAAGAGTCCTCTGGGTTTAGTATGTTGGTGAGGGGCTCTTGATTTAGGGAATTGGATCTGTGCTCCAGTTCCCCAAATTAAGCCTGAATGCCTTCCACATCCCCCCCCCAGGCGCTGTATAATCCTCCGGGTTTAGCGCTTCCCCCTTGATTATAATAATAATAATCTGGGTTTAGTGCTACACCATAATATAATGATTCAAATTCAAAAGTTTATTCTCTATAAGGATTACAATGCTGAGTTTACAGAATTTGGTTATTGTGTGGTTTACATGTGGTAAAATAATAATTACAGAGTGTACCACTAGAACACCTAGCATGGCTAGGCATTTCGGGCAGACTTAGTTTAAATCTTAAGTTTAAAATATTACAAATTATGAGGCAAGTTGATATTATGGCTAAGTGACTAAATACTAGTTTGTGAGTTTAGCAATGTGAATGCATTTGTTTTGGCACAGTACATAGTTTCAGTATTGGAGTATCACAGGCCAACTTATGACTAATTAAGCATTATTTTAAGATTAAGATTGATATTTCTGTTTATGGTCAAATGGGTGAGTGAGTGTAAGTGTGAACCACCAGGTGGTATTTGTGTAATTAGTTGACAGGGTGTATCAGGGAGATAAGATGTTTTCTAATGGTAGTTTTGAAGATGATGAATGTGTCTGCAGTTCTAGAGTTTTCAGGTAGGTGTTCCAGATTTTAGGGCCTTTGACATACATTGAATTTTTGTAAAGGTTTAGTCGGACACGGGGAATGTCATAGAGATGTTTGTGTCTAGAAGAGTGACAACAGGAGTAGTAGAGACAGAGTGAGTGAAATAATGAAGTAACAATGGGTAATTCCATCTTTGGTTTAAAAATGTATTAGTACTGGTATGTGGTAAGTGGAAAAGTGTGTTTGTGATCACTAGCAGGTGAAAGTAATCTGCCTTCCTATAATGAAGGAGCAGAATTGTATTATTATTAAAATGTGGCTGAATTTGATATTTTAGCTTGTTTATAGAACTATTTGCTTACAGGGGTTGACTTCTGGCGTGTGGTGACACTCATCACTGCTGTTGTACTTTTCTTCACTGCTCGGCATCTTGCAAAAAATGTCTTCTTCCACTACACTACAGGAATTACTATAGGAGTTTTGGGATCTCTTCTGATTATTGTATATATTGTTGCAAGACTTGTTCCGAAGGTTGGTAGGCTTCTGTTAATGGCCTTAGATTGAAATTGATTACCTCCCATTTTCCAGACACTGTATCACCCATGTGGTTTTAGTTCTTCCCCATAAATGATAATGAAATATAATTGCCATATTCCTTTGTAAGGTGAAAAAAAAAGTCCTGTGTATTTAAAACCACTACTATTATTTATATCTTAATATTAAAATATTGTTGAGGTAAGAGACACCTGCTCACTACTGTTTATGTAATTTAAATTATACAAGTCATTTTGATTTATGACCCATATGTATTTAGCACTTTTAATATAATAATAATAATAAGGGTGTGAAGTGTGAGTTGTGACTGTTGCAGTGGGAGGAGGCTGGATGCAGTGATGTTGTGTCTAACAAATATTATGCAGAGAATTCATAGTTTAGAGATTAATAGTAGGTGTGGGGTAACTAAAAGTATTATTCAGAGAGCTGAGGGGGGGGTTTGCTGAGATGGTTTGGACATATAGAGAGGATGGAGCAAAATAGGATGACTTGGAGGGTATATAAATCTGTAATGGACAGAAGGCAGGGTAGGGGTCACCCAAGGAAAGGTTGGAGGGAGGGGGTCAAGGAAGTTTTGTATGTGATGGACTTTTGAACATCTGGCAGGTGTGTGGAGCATGTTAGATAGGAGTGGAAGCAAGTGGTTTTTATGACTACCTGCTGTTGGAGTGAGGAAAGTAACAATTATGAAGGGATTCAGGGAAACCAGTTAGCCTGACCGAGTCATGGAGGTGGAAAATACAGTGCATACTGAAGAAGGGGTGGGAATATTTGCAGTTCAGAGGGGCATGTTAACTGTTGTATCAGCACACCTCTTGCAAGACAGTGATGGTGAAAGTGTTTCTTCTGTTTTGGGTCCCCCTGCCTCGGTAGGTGACGGCCAGTGTGTTAAAAATATAATAATTTTTTTAATGTTATTGTGAATGAGGAACTAATGAAGTTTGTATTTTTAATTAGTATATAATACTGTACATTGGTATCAGAAAAGTACTCTATATTGTATTATTAGATGGGCTTTTAGTAGCTGGAATACATTTCCATGAAAATATTAATACATTTATTGCAATTACAGAAATCTGGTGCATTAACATTGATGATTGGTGGCTGGGGCTTGACTGTCTACCTCATCCAGTACCTGTGGCAAAATTTTGTGTCAATTGTGAAGGAAAATCATGCTGTTGCTGTTGGTAAGTATAATGCATTTAAGTGGTTTTCTGGCCTTATATCTTCATACATTGTATACATAGATTTGGTATTATAATCTATCAATTAATATATGTATATAGTCGGACTTGAGTCCTGGAAATGGGAAGTACAATGCCTGCACTTTAAAGGAGGGGTTTGGGATATTGGCAGTTTGGAGGGATATGTTGTGTATCTTTATAGTGTATGCTTCAAAAACTGTGTATTCTGAGCATCTCTGCAAAAACGTGATTAATGTGCGAGTGTGATGAAAGTGTTGAATGATGATGAAAGTATCTTCTTTTTGGGGATTTTCTTTCTTTTTTGGGTCACCCTGCCTCGGTGGGAGACGGCCGACTTGTTGAAAAAAAAAAAAAAATGAATTGACACTTTAAAAATCACCTTTTTTACTAGTATATTTATGACCAGTGTAATGTTAGTTCACTTTTCCCCTTTGCATCTCTGTGTAGCTGACATTTCACACTTGCCAGATTTACAAACGAGGAGTTTTTTAAAACCTTGTAAGCTGTAATTGTAAGAACAAAATATGGGAATAAGGAACAGTTCACAATTTGGAGAGAATTTCACGCTTTTCTTCTTCAATTACAGTAATGAACAGCACAGGACAAACTGTAAATTTAAAGTGAGAGAATCATGAACATTCTGTATAACTAAACTTACTCTACAATACACCTACCATCCGACTTACGACCGAGTTCTTTCCCGGAGAAACTTGTTGTAAGTCGAAATTTGGACGTAGTCGAACTTTACACAATATCAACATCACATTTTTGTAATGACTTTATTTTATTTTTTTTATTTTGGTATTTCATGTTTTACTTTACTTTTTATGCTGTTAGTACTGTATTTTATACTGTAAGGTTTAGGATAAACACTGTGTACAAACAAATAGTTGTTTATTTCCCCGAAATTTGGCAAAAAAAAAAACGGTCGTAAGCCGACGTGGTCGTAAGTCGAGCAGGTCGTAAGTCGGATGGTAGGTGTATTTCATATTATTTATTTCATATTTAAAATGAACTTTTAATTCAGGTTATGTAGTAGTGCAGGACTCCTCAGTTTTGCTATGGTTTTACGGTATGGACCACTAACAGACAAGCGCTCAATCAAACTTAGTTCAGTGGGCTATGCAAACTGATGGCCGTATAGCAATATTTCTAAGTAGTCAGTATCGCGAAGCTACTCTGGGACTCATCATTGTAATGGATTTATTACAATATTCCTGATAAGTGGAAATCCAAGTTCCATACATATTGGTGAGTATGAAATTCACCTGCATAATTTCTGTTTTTTTCATCTTTAGTACAGTAATGATTAACATGATAACTTCAAATACTGTAGTCAAAACAAAAGTAATATTGTACTTGCTGTCATAATTTTAAAGCCTGCACTCTGGAGGGGTCAGGATGTTGTAGTTCAGAGGTCATCTTATCTGTGATGTCAATGTCCTACTGGCAATAGTGATTGAATGAGTGAGAGTAAGTGTTTTCTTTGTTCAGTCACCCTACCTTGGTGGGAGATGGCAGTGTTAAAAAAAATCCCAACACCCATTCTCCAAATGTATTAGTTTTAGATTCTTTGTAGAAATGCTGTTTTAGATCGCAAAAATTTCTTTTTGTAGTCTAGTGTACAGAATATTGTTTACAATTTTCTTTTTTTGTCTACTGTAAAATATCTTCTGAAAGTCAACATAGAATTTAAGGGGGTTAATTAATAATGGGCATGTAGTATAATTTTTGAGAATTGAAGTGAACTATTTCTTATTAAAGACAAAATCTAAGCAAGGCAATCATTATACTATATGTGGGGTTTATATTAATGTTTTTTCAGTGTACATTATATAATTAATAATGATATTTGTTGGCTAATGAGAGCATAGGCAATGGGGTCGAAGAGGTATGGGGTTAGGTTTTTAAAAAAGTAGTGTTAGAGTGTTCAGCAGAAGTTTGTGGGGTTTCAGGAAAGTGGGTGCAGGAGGGAAGAGGAGCGATTTGGGGGAATGATGATGTAAAGAGAGTAGTAAGGGAGAAAAGTTAGCATATGAGAAGTTTTTACAAAGTAGAAGTGATGCAAGGAGGGAAGAGTATATGGAGAAAAAAAAGAGAAGTTAAGAGAGTGGTGAAGCAATGTAAAAAGAGAGCAAATGAGAGGGTGGGTGAGATGTTATCAACAAATTTTGTTGAAAAAAAGAAAAAGTTTTGGTGGAGATTAAAAAGTTAAGAAACCCAGAGAACAATGGATTTGCGTTAAAAATAGGAGAGGGAGTTATTTAAAAGGAGAGGTAGAGGGTTTTGGGGAAAATGGGAAGGGGTTTTTTTGAAAAAGGAATTGTTTAAATGTTGATGAAGTAGGGGAAGCGTGATTTGTTTATAGGGCAAGGAGGAATAACATTTTTTAGGAGTGAGGGGGACCCGTTGTGAGTGTGGGGGAAGTTCGTGAGGGAAAAGGTAAAAAAGAAAGGGGGGAAAGGAGCGGGATTTTATGGGATAAAGAAAAATGTTAAAAGAGGTGGGGATATATTTTGGGTGGTTGGTGAATTATTTAATAAATGTTGGAAGGGGTAAGGTACCTAGGGATTGGCGAGAGCATGCATTTGTTTCCCTTTTTATAAAGGCAAAGGGGTAAAAGAGAGTGCAAAAATTAAGGGGGATAAGTCTGTGGTGTACCTGGTAAAGTGTATGGTGAGTTATAATTGAAAGAATTAAGAGTAAGACGGAGAATAGGATAGCAGATGAACAAGGAGGCTTTAGGAAAGGTAGGGGGGTGTGTGGACCAGGTGTTTACAGTGAAACATATAAGTGAACAGTATTTAGTTTAAGGCTAAAGAGGTCTTTGTGGCATTCATGGTTTTTGGAAAAGGCGTTGACAGGGTGGATAGGGGGGCAATGTGGCAGATGTTGCAAGTGTATGGTGTAGGAGGTAGGTTACTAAAAAAGCAGTGAAGATTTTTTACGAGGATAGTGAGGTCAAGTTAGAGTATGTAGGAAAGAGGGAAATTTTTTCCCAGTAAAAGTAGGCCTTAGACAAGGATGTGTGATGTCACCGTGGTTGTTTAATATATTTATAGATGGGGTTGTAAGAGAAGTAAATGCGAGGGTCTTGGCAAGAGGCGTGGAGTTAAAAGATAAAAAATTTCACACACAAAGTGGGAGTTGTCACAGCTGCTCTTTGCCGATGACACTGTGCTCTTGGGAGATTCTGAAGAGAAGTTGCAGAGATTGGTGGATGAATTTGGTTTAGGGTGTGCAAAAGAAGAAAATTAAAGGTGAATACGGGAAAGAGTAAGGTTATGAGGATAACAAAAAGATTAGGTGATAAAAGATTGAATATCAGATTGGAGGGAGAGAGTATGGAGGAGGGGGAACGTATTCAGATATTTGGGAGTGGACGTGTCAGCGGATGGGTCTATGAAAGATGAGGTGAATCATAGAATTGTTTGAGGGAAAAAGAGTGAGTGGTGCACTTAGGAGTCTGTGGAGACAAAGAACTTTGTCCTTGGAGGCAAAGAGGGGAATGTATGAGATTTATAGTTTTACCAACGCTCTTATATGGGTGTGAAGCGGGGGTTTGATGATGTTGCAGCGAGGAGAGAAGGCTGGAGCAGTGGAGATGTCATGTCTGAGGGCAATGTGTGGTGTGAATATAATGCAGAGAATTCGTAGTTTGGAAGTTAGGAGGAGGTGCGGGAAATTTCCCAAAAATGTTGTCCAGAGGGCTGAGGAAGGGTTGTTGAGGTGGTTCGGACATGTAGGGGAGAATGGAGCGAAACAGAATGACTTCAAGAGTGTATCAGTCTGTAGTGGAGGAAGGCGGGGGGAGGGGTCGGCCTAGGAAGGGTTGGAGGGAGGGGGTTTAAAAGGGGGTTTTGTGTGCGAGGGGCTTGGACTTCCAGCAGGCATGCCGTGAGCGTGTTTGATAGGAGTGAAAGGAGGACAAATGGTTTTTTAATACTTGACGTGCTGTTGGAGTGTGAGCAAAGTAACATTTATGAAGGGATTCAGGGGGAAAAAAGGCAGGCCGGACTTGAGTCCTGGAGATGGGAAGTACAGTGCCTGCACTCTGAAGGAGGGGTGTTAATGTTGCAGTTTAAAAACTGTAGTGTAAAGCACCCTTCTGGCAAGACAGTGATGGAGTGAATGATGGTGAAAGTTTTTCTTTTTCGGGCCACCCTGCCTTGGTGGGAATCGGCCGGTGTGATAATAAAATAAAAAAATAAAATTTGTTGGCTTATCAGCTTTCTGTTTAACTGTGCTGGAAGTAATTATTTTTTTGTGGGAAATTTAATTTTAGGCGTCGACGGTTTCCTCCAAAAGTGACAAGGTTAACAGAAGAAGAATATATCCAGCAAGGCACCATAGAAACTCGAAAAGCTTTAGACGATTTAAGATCTTTCTGCCGATCACCAAACTGTGATGCTTGGAAAACAGTTTCAAGATTAAGAACACCACAAAGGTGAGAATATAGAATTAAAAATGCTAGATTTTTTGGGGAGGGAGGGTTTCATTTATTCTGTATATTTTTTAGTATTGTAACTCACAGTACTAGAACATGAGAATGCAACATACAGTAAATACTATGTATCCATTATAATTATTGTATCAGATCTTTTTATTAAAGACTCCTAAAGGATAGAATTGTCTTAAATCTCTATATCTGTCACATCTCACATGAGTATAATTGCATCCTCTCAACTGCTCAATTAATACATGTAATTGCGAGGTGTGGTAGCTGGGCGAGTTACCACACCTGACTTCCTACAATAAATACTACTAACCTCTTTTCCTACATTAAGACTACAAATATTTTAAGGTAAGTAATGAGTGTACTGTATGTGCATTTTACTTTTTTATGCTAAGTTCTAATGCTAACCTAATATATGATAGTGTAAACATGTTACGAGGCATTGATATGCATTTGAAAATAAAAAAAAAGGTGATTCACTTTACGTCGATTTCCATTTTGCAGTGCTAGCCTGGAACCTAACCTGTCATATAAGCAGTGCCCTCTTTTATTGGTATTGGTGGGCATCACCCAGTTTTGATGTATTGGCATTGGCCTAAAATTTAGTATTGGTATCAGTACAGGCAAAAATTTTGGTATAATCCCATCACTACTATTCTTGCTTAATGTGATATTCTATCTCAGTCATCCATAAAATATATTTTCATCCTAACATTTTGCCATGTTTTTATATATTGTATATCTGTAGCTTCACAATTTAGTATTTGCCTAAAAGCTAATAATACCACATTACAAGGTAACATTATCCATACCACAGCAACTTCATTTAAAATGAAATTTCACTCTGACATAAATGTAACTATATGAAGAATGAAGAATTTTGCTGGTCCAAACTGCTGAGCCATGGAAGTAAATTGTGCATGTCCCTCCTGCATAACTGGATATGTGGTACACACGCCACCCCATCACTACTGGACACTACTCTTGTACCTTGGACATAATAGGAATTGCAACTGAAAGCTTATACAAAATCTATCAAATTGTGAGAGGCCCCACTGTAACACAACTTGCAGTGACACCTTGGGTGTAGGATAACATTTATTATGTCCTTACATTCCATTCACTCATATTGTGAATGTAACAAGGGAGGAATTTTGCGAGTGGGAACTGCAGACCCTCAACAACCCTCCCTCTGAAAATGTAATAGGCCTTAAATAACAAAAAAAGGCACAATACAATGATTGGAACAATACACAAAGTCACACTGTGAAAAAAACCATACCCCGGCCGGGATTGAACCCGCGGTCAGTCACACTGTGACTTTGTAAATGGTCCAAGTCGGACCAAAACGTCGTCATAAGCTCCTCTCTTCTAGGTGCAGGTTATTTGTGTAATAGGCCTTCTTGGAAAGAACACTTGACCTAATCATTTTAGAAAACACTACAGAAAAAATCTACCAGAACCTCCATAAAGGCTAAGTACTATGTATCTTGGGAAAGATCATGTGATAAAATTATAAAAAATAAAAAATAAATGACGACTGATTAGTCTGTGATATTGTGTATGGTTTTTATCTCAGTAAGGTTATTCTTACAGTTTCATGTTCAAGTGCACATTAGTGTAGGCTTAAAAGTTGTGAAGTATAGTGTATCTCTTGAGGGATTAAGTACGTATTATCCTTGCTCCAACATGACAACTTGTTGCATCAATTGTACCATAATAAATTAAAACATCCTAGAACATTAAAGTCAAAACTCAAATAATTTATGTTCTTTCTTTCAACAAACCGGCCGTATTCCATCCAGACAGGGTGGCCCAAAAAGAAAAATGAAAGTTTCTCTTTTTAAATTTAGTAATTTATACAGGAGAAGGGGTTACTAGCCCCTTCCTCCCAGCATTTTAGTCGCCACCTAACGACACGCATGGCTTAGGGAGGAGGAATTCTGTTCCACATCCCCATGGAGAAAAACTCAAATCATTTATATTTTACTGGATAAACATTGTGTATAAAACCTCTAAAAATGTTGGATGGCAGTTTCAATAATTATTTGATTCACAAATAACCCACTTGATAATTGTTGAGGGTAGACCAACACCAATAATTATTCAAGCACTTTGTTATAATCATCCATTATATATTTGAAATAAATATTATAGATGTTGCTTATACAGTACCTCTCTCACTTTTATTGTGTACAATTAGGAAACATAAATTTTATTAGTTATTTCTTAGATTTTGCACTGAATATACCAGTAGTGAACGAATATAAAGCCAGCCCAACTTATAACCACATGATTGTTATGTACAGTGCCTGTACATCATTTGCATTATGATGTCTGAACACTTTTGGCAAGACAGTTACTGAATGAATGATAGTGAATGAGTTTTTTAGGTCACCCTACCTTGATGGGAGATGGTATTTGTTAAAAAAAATTAAGAGAAATTAAATTACAAAGAATGTAATACAGTATGAGGACTAGACAGTATATGCTGTAACACTAATGAAAGAGCACAATTGAACTTAGAATGTGTTATAGAGCTCACAATCCAATGTTATCTCTGTTCATTGACAGTGATACGAGATCCTAGCTTGTGATCATCTACCGTAGTTCGGCATGGATGGTTCTATTAATTTGCATAATGTTTATGGAAAGCGACAACCCTGCCTTTGTGTTAAATTGGCCATTGTGATACAAAATGATAGTGAAGCATTAAATTATTATGAAACATCCAAATCTTGGAATGATGGGACTTCATTGTCCTCTTTAGCATGAGACAGATGTAGTGTCTGGTTGTACCTAGTTGTTGCAATGTTTTACAACACTTGACTTTCTATGAATCACAACAGTTTTATGGCCTTGAATCTGATTTAATTCAGCCATGATTGGGTAGCTGATTGTTGTCATAAACTCATTGTACATCTACATTGAGAGAGAACAGGCAAACAACAGTCTAAATATAGGGTTGTTTAAGGATCATGTTCACAGTTTCCACCAAAGCATAAAATATACAAGTTTACTATTTAAGTTTGTCATTTGATTATGTTGAGTGTGTCATAGTGAATCCTGATCATGTGTGTGTGTGTGTGTGTCAGACTAGTATTTAATTTACAGCTTTACACTGAGTTTGAGGGGATATCTAATTGAATAAAACATGTTAAACAAAATGCACAAAGTACTTTATATACAAGTGGTAATAGTAGTTTATATCCACAGATTTGTGGAGTTTGTTGGGAGTCCTCAAAAGAGGCAGAGTAACACTCCGAACAGGGAGAGGTAAGCCATGTATGGTTTTCCTTTCTCTGCTGCTGGGCTGACTTTTAATTATATACTGCAGTTTTGTAACAAACATTTAAAGGAAGAAGAATTGTTTATTGCATTTTTGGATTTGGAAAATCATATGACAAAGTAGATTGTAGTGTGATATGACTGATGCTTCAAATGTATGGAATAGGTGGCAAGTTGCTAAAAACTGTATATAAGAAGAGTGAGGCTCAGGTTACGGTATGTAGAAGAGAATGGGAACATTTTTCAGTAAAAGTAGGCCTTAGACAGGGATGTGTGATGTCACTAAAGTCTTTGTAGCTGGGGTTGTAAAGGAAGTGAATGCAAGTATCAGGAGATGTGGTCTTCAAAGATAAATGAATCTGATGTAAAGTGAAAATTATCAGTTACTGTTTGCAGAAGACAGTCTTTTGGGTAGATTCAGAAGTAACATTTCAGAATTTGGGGAAGGAGTTTAGAAGCATATGTAAAAGAAGGAAGTTGGAAGCAAACACAGAGATAAGTAATGTAATGATAGCAAAGTCATTGAGTGAAGATTAAGGATCAGATTGGAAGGAGTATGAAGGAAGTGAATGTATTGAGATGCTTGGAAACAAATATTTGTCAGCAAATGGGTCTGAAAGATAAGGTGAATCATAGATTAGGTGAAAGAAAGTTGCAGAAATGTTGAGGCATTTGTAGAAAGAAAGGAAAGCTTGTCAGTGGATATAAAAAGTGGCAATGTACCAGAGAATAGTGATGCCAACACTTTTGTAAGGCATAGTCTTTGAATGTTGCAATGAGGAGGAGGAGGCTGGAGGAAATGGAAATGGCAAGCAATGAAATGTATTAATGGTGTGAGTATTGTGCAAGTAATATGAAGGAAAGAAATTAGAAGAGGGTGTGAGAGCACAAAAGGTATAATTTAAGCAGTGGAAGGGGGGTTGTTGGAATTGTTTATTAATATTATGATCTAAAGGAAGCGCTAAACCTACCAGGGTCATACAGTGCTGCAGGGTAAGAATTGATGTGTTTAGTCATGTGGAAAGTTGAGTAAAAAAAATTAATGTGTAGAAGTCTGTAGTGGATGAAAGGTAGAGTACAGTGGACATCCCAGGAAAGGTGGTAAGGATGGTGTGAAGATTTTAAGAGGTAGGGGCCATAACAGAATAAATGAAAACAGACTAATTTCTGGGATATAACATGATTTTTGGAATGTGAGCACAATAATATCTGAAGGATTCAGGGAAACTGGTTATCCAAACTTGAGTTTTGGTTTTTGATAATGTGGTACAGTGGATCATGGAATCTGTCAACTCTGGCGAGTGATGGTGAATGTACGTATTTTCTTAGGTCACCATGCCTTGGTAGGAAATGGTCAATGCATTACAAAAATTACTGATATCAGTCACTCTTTAAAATTTAGAAGCACCACTTGATCTACAGTTCCTATACTTATTTTGTGGTTTTGCAGATACTATCACTCCCTGTTATATATTTTTATTTTTATTTTTTTTTTTTCAACAAGTCGGCCTTCTCCAACCGAGGCATGGTGTATATACCTTTTTTGTATGTACCTTTTCTATTTTTCCTGATTCCATATATATTATAGTCATTGGAAAGCACTAAACCATAGGAGTCATGTATACAGCACTTGCAGAAGGAAATGATGGTTTCATTTCCATATATCAAGAAACCTTCACCAGCATCATCCATCTTTGTAATAGTTTGGAATTTACATTTCTTTGAATCTTGAGATATATTTTTGAGCACAAGTACTACCACTCCTTCCCACAGTTTTCTCTCCTTTCTCTTTATTCAGTCTCCTCTTGAGAAAATTGTGTGGGTAATCATGTTAACTTAGTGCAGGTACAGTGTATTATTCGTAATTGAGACGGCAGCTGGGATTTTTCCTTTATTTTTCATGTGACTCCTGGGTTTTGTTTATGATCCCATTTGTTTCTAAATAGATTCCTGCCTGGCCAACTTATGTCTTATTTTGTGAGAGGGAAAGAGGGTGGAGACTTGATGTTGGTGATGGGGCCTAGGGGTATGGTGGAACTTGAGGATGTGATGGGATTTGGAGATGTGCAACTATTAGATATGATGGAACCTAGGGAAAATTTGTGGGACTTGTGGATTTAGTAGAACTTAGGGATGTGGTGGTTCTGGAGGATGTGGAATGTAATGGGGGTTAAAGATGTAAAGAGGTTTTGGGAAAGAGGAGAGTTAAGTGTTAATTAGTAGTGATTTATTCTCTGGTTATCACATGAATGTTTGGGAAAATAGTTTACTTCATGTAAAATTGCGTTGAAGAACAATTTCTTTGAAATTCGTTTTGGTCCTGTGGGGGGATTACTGCATTCATGTACAGTATGCTGTATCAAAAGTATTGGATAGAAGATTTTTTTATTAATTCTTTTTATATTTATAGTCTGCACAGTACATCAAATGATATTTACATGCAAATGGCTGCACATTGCACTCTTTGTGATACATCACTCATAGAGCTTCCTAAATCTCACATTTGCAGTATAGTTCTCTTACTCTAATCCCAATTCCATCTCTGTGTAGAGTACTAACAGTAGTTTAATTTCTGTTTGAATAAAGCAGTTTTTTGCATCATACTACATTAAATTCAGGCCGAATTTAAAAACTCCTAAATCAAGCTTTAATCTTTATGTTGATACCTTTTATATATATTGATTTTTTCATTACAAATCTTATTCACATTTGGCAATGTCTCCCACATTATCAGAATTCTTGATACAGTCTAATGGAAACTTATTCATCCCTTCAGTGCACCTGATCTTTCATATAATCTTCATATCATTATCTTTCCTCAGCAAAATTACATTTGTTTCTCTCTTTTATTGTACTTTCATTGCTTTTGATCTCACAATTTTGAGAGTTGTATTCTCTCTATACATACATATATGGCTACATAATACTTCCACTGCAGTAGTTTTTTCTCACTAATGTTGTGTCTTATTAATGTTAGAATAGACTGCCAAGATGTCTCATTTTTCCATTCTACACCCATACTGTGGAATAAACTACCATATCAACCTGTCTTTCCTCATTTTTTTTTATTTGTAGTCTTTCAAAAGGAATCTATGGATTTTGCAGTGCTTTGTGACCCTTACAGATTTTGCACTCAATTTGATTATAATAATAATAATATGGATTTAATATCTATAGAGTTACCTTCTGGACAATATCCAATATTATTTACTATTTTCTCACTAGCTTTTTCTGTGAAAAAAAAAAAATGGAATTTTAAGATTTTCAGGTTATGTCATGCTAATTACATTCTCTTCACATAGGTTTGCTGAATTTGTCGAGGGAGGTTCTCACCTGGATGATGAGGCAATCCTGGCATATGAAAGTAATCACCTGACACCCAACCGTGATGAAGATGCTGACCCATATCTTACCACAGATGATGATGAATCCTAAGAACCTCTTGTAGCTAATGCCATTTATATTTAATTTTGTAAAAAACTACAGTACATGTACTGTATGCAAATTTAGGATAACTTGTAGCTGAAAAAGTGATAAAATTTGTGGATAGTTTTTATTGTTCTGAAAAGGGATTCAGAGTTAAGCATTTTCTTAATATCAGCTTTGCTTTAATATCAGTGATTAAGATAAAGAAAAAACTCGAGACTTTCTACCTCGGATAAACTAACTCTGTTATGTTAAAAAAAAAAAAAAACTCGATTTAATGGACTAATAGGGTGATCGTCAAGTTTCCATTAATTCTGAATAATGTTTAAAAAAAATAGCAAACAAGCAGTACAGCATTCATTGTATATATACAGTGGTATTGTACAGTTTACACATACATAGTTAAAATAAAGTTAAAAGTACAATTTCCCTAGTGGATTTGTCCATTATTTGCAAAGTACCATAAATCGAGGGTTTACTAGAGTTTACTGTTAGGAGTTTTTTTTTTTTTGTGTGTGTGTGTTGTTGCACCTTTAATGTTGTCAAGACTTACAACTGTGAAATGTCATGATTAGATTTCTTATTCTTGGTTTACAGTGATATGTAAATTAGGGGTGTGCCAAAGTATTGGTATTAGTGGGTATCAGCCAATTTTGATGGTAGAAAAAGTTTTGGTATTGTCCCATCATTAAAGTAAATATTTGTAATTCCAGTAATATTTAGAAAAATTCAAGTTTCAGGAATAATATATCTGTACTTTGCATTTGATATTTTTTTTTTTTTTTTTAGTTTAATAGTTTTGGTATAGGCAGGTTTTTGCATATTTCTATTACAGCATTTTGGTTTATTTCTCCAGATAGCTTTCCTTGTGAAGAGGTGATCATAACAGAATACCTCCTAGTAGCTACTATACATTTAAACTTTTCTTTATAGTTATATCCCCAAATGACCACATGGGATATGTAATCTGTAGATCAGTGATGGAGTGTTTGGTTCAACCCAAATGACCTAGGTCCTTAAGTCTCCTTATGCCTGCTGCTTATGGGATCATCTCTATTTCTACTTTGTCCCATTCCAGGATGTGTGTTGCTTTCCAAAAATCTAAGCCTCAGGTACATCACTTATATTTCCTTATTTCATTTTCCATTCCCATATATCAATATTGGAAGGAACATAAGAATTAAATATCATTATTTTATCTTGGTAGTGATTTTTAAAAGAGTAAGGTAACACATCTGTCTCATGATTAGTGGATGGAGGATCAAGCCTCTACATCTTCCACTAAATGGCCCACAGATTTAAATCTTCATATCAATAATTATCTTCTGTTTTTTGTAGCACAATCCTTTGTCATTTTCAGTGTAACGAGTCTGAAAGTGTTTTCATGTTTTGGGTTGCCCTACCTTGGTGGGAAATTGACGAGTTAAATAAAAATAACATTTGGCCTATCATTTCCTTCGTTTCTATTTGTATATGCTGTAATAATCCTCTAACTTTTCACACACACTATTATTCAGTTCATGTAAATAGTGACAGTTTCATCTGTATAATAGCTAAACCAACACACACACTTTTTTGCTAAGTATTAAGTGATCTTTCTAGTCTTTAACATTTAGTTAAAATATCTGAGAAAGATTCTATAGACCACTAGGCTACCCTTCTCAAAGAGTTAAGGTTTCCTAAAGAACTGAGTATAAAATATAGCTGTAGACTAACTTAAGTATAATTAATGGAAAAGACTGAAATTAAAGTCACTGTGAAAATAAATATGAATTGTTCATATATTAAGTGATTTTCATAAAATCAGCTCAAATATTTTTTTTTAGTTTCTTGTGATAATTTGATATTGTATATATGCATTATGGAGGTTTATAATTAAAATTTTCTTTATACTGTAAGTATATATATATTATATATATATGCACACACACACACACACACACCACACAAGAGGCCCCCACTTATATGGCAGGTTAGGTTCCAGGCTACAAATGGTAAACAGAATGCCATTTTTTCCACTTATAAATGATGTAACTGCCAGAGAAGTTTACACTAACATATGTTAGCAATAGAACTAGGCATTAAAAAACAATAAAAAGTAAAATACACACACAGTACACTCATTACCTACCTTAAAATATTTGTAGTCTTAATATAGGGCGAGAGGTGAGTAGTATTTATTGTTAAGAGGTCAGGTGTGGTAGGTATGGCCACCCCACCCACATGTATTATACATTTAAAGCTCCCTAGAGCAATAAAATGCATGTGCAGTACACTCATTACTTACCTTAAAATATCTGTAGTCTTAATGTAGGGTGAGAGGTGAGTAAACAAGATAAAACGAATAAACGAGAGAACGAGTAAATGAGAGGACAGAGACGCGGAGTATGTAAACAAGCAGACGAATGCATCTGGTTATGGTTCATACACGTTCATTTCCATGTCTGAAGTTTATACCATAATGCAAACACCTTACATTGTGTACAGTTATTATTATAATCAAAAAGAAGCACTAAGCCACAAGGGCTACATTGTGTACAAGTTATCTCCACAATAGTACAGTAGAATAAATAAAGAGCAACACTCCCCTTCTCATGTAACACACCACTTTTAGAAGGAATGACACAGTGAAGGCATATGAAAGGAATACTTTTTTACAGTTACCCCCACAATACTATTGTGTACACATTTTCTTTGGTGTTGAACTATAGAAAACATTCTTCTTTTTGACAAGATGACTGGAAAAACATCATATTCGTTGATTTATTCTGCTGTGGGGGGTATTTAGCATGTTTATATAATTTTGAAAAAATATCATAGATGGATTAACGTAATATAAGACATTTAATGTGCCTCTGTGTGATTATTATTGCATTTTATTATCATTATTAATATGGCGTCTTTGAGACTAATAACCCTTGTCAGTTTAGCACTTTCTTTATAATAATAATAATTTGAGATTAATAAGACACTCTTAGTGATTTTAGGCTGTATAGCCCTTGTGGCTTAGTGCTTCTTTTTGATTATAATAATAATAATTAGTGATTTTAGTGTGTACCTGCATGCCAGCACAGTGTGGAAGTCTACTTAGGTACAGGTACACATAAGTATCAGAGTATATATGAAATAACTTTAAAGCAAATGAAATTTTGGAAAGTTTCCAGACATAATGAGCTGTATAGTCCTTGTGGCTTAGCGCTTCTTTTTTTGATTATAATAATAATAATCCAGACATAATGGAGACATGGAATTCACAGAGCTCATGGAGAATGTAAACAAACTTGGTGGTGTACAGTGACTATTAGAAAGTCAGGTGGGGGGAGCCGTATAGTGAGTTTTGGTCATAATTTGAAATGTCTGTATTAGTGGAATGCTGTAAAGGGGGGCCCTACTGTACAAGACTAAACTAAATATCATCTAATTGTTCAGATGATGAAAAAAAAAATAGCACCTATTTGTTATTTTGCTCCAAACTCAAATGCTTTCATGAAGGGGAAAAAATAGGTCTTAAGTAATATTAGATATTCTTTACAAAATGGTGGGTTATGAAGAGTAACAATATAATTATGGCTTGTTGCAAAAGCAGCAAGTTTTGAAATGGTGTCCTGTACTTAGTATTTGATTTAATTTTTTTTTTTAGTTTAAATCGATCAAAATTATTTGCATGTCATGCAAATTAACAGTTTTGTCAATCACTGCTTGTGTTCGCTAATTTAGCAGTTCCCATGCATCATGTTTGTTACTGTGACTGACAAATAAAATTAAGGAAGATATTTGTGGGAAATTTTATTTGTCCTTGTATAAGAACATAAAATGTACATATTAATGAGTGTTGTGTTTATATTATACTCATTCATTTATAATGAAAGGCTGAAACAATATGAATAAGTAGTGAATAAATACTACAGTACAACCTCTCAGTAATGGATTAATAGGGAAAAGGGGGTATACTATAATGTTAACTGTCCGCAAATCCCAAATTATGAAATTAATATTTCTTGACTGGTCGTCTTCTGAAGTAATGGACTTGGTCTGCTACTGCAGAAGACAAATGGACACTAAGAATATGGATATTGTAACCTGTGGTACAGTATAGTACTCTATTATATAATAATTTTATAGTACTTTAAATCAAGTAAAGAAACATTACCTTTTCATGGTGGAGACTAGGTATGAACTGCCCAGAAAGACTTAAGAGGGATTGAATGCAAATGATGCTAAAATCATCAACATATCACTAGATTCATCTTATTCACAACCCTGGTGGTTTAATAATAATAATAATAATCTTATTCAAAGACTGTTAGCAGCAAAGTGTGAGGCACAGTCATTTTGGCTCTTTTTAGGTTATAATACAAGAAAAGTGCTGAAATTGCAGAGATGAGGTCTGTCAGAACTACATTGACAAAGAGAATAGGACCTGGCCTTACTTAACAAGATATTAGAAAGTTTAATTAAAACTACATTTTTTTTTTTTTGGCTTACATTACATTGGTTTTTAACCTTACATTACATCATGTTTAAATTTTTTACCATATTGTATTGTGAAAGAAATGTAACTGCATCAAATTTAAAGATACTGTACTTAATGTCAGTAGTGTTCAAGCTATCTTTAGTTAGCATTTCAATATTTTTACACAGTAAGAGACTTTAAATTGAGAAGCCATATACTGTTTTCTTTAATACAATGCATACATTAACAATGTATCATATCTGAGGTTTGTGCAGATGTCTTTTCTATTATTGATTTATTTCCTACATGAATACTGTACCACCACATTGTTCAAAAATGTAGATATATTTCGTAAATTAGTTTACAGTAGAGTACAACTTAAATGCATACAGTATTCTTCCTAGATCACCATATATTAAATAATAAACCCAGATAAATAAAGTCTACTTTATGAAGCCTCTATGATGGTGCTCAACCACTGCTGTGGAAGACTTGACACCAGTGTCACCTTGACTAACACCTGTGACTAAGACAAAGCATCCTAATAAACACATGAATGTTTAGTTAGCAAATATCATAAATTTCAGTCTCCTAAGTGTGGGTTATTTCTGTAACACTCACCATGATTATTCAAGTCAATAATATCACTCTTGTCCTTTTTTCTCAGTGGATATTTTACCAATTTACAGTACAATAATTTTCAC